ACATACTTTGGTGAGCATGTCTTTTTGTGTTGATTATTGCGTGGAAATTAATTTGCCTTAAACCCACTCTTCTGTCTTAGCTTATGCTTCAGTAACTGTTGATTGACACGTACATTTGCGCCATATGTGTGACGCACATTAGCGCAAAAACACATATCACGAAACCATGTGCTCTCTATAAAAGCGTCCATATAGTACATTGTATATATGCACTATAGGGGAGGCAAGTATCATGATACAGACCCTGTGGAGCTATACACTTATAAGACAGGAAAATATCATGATAAAGTCTCATGTACACATTGTACAAATATTATTACATATAACACACGGTACAAATTTTACGACAGTTCATACCGTCCTTATACAACATTTCTCATCCAAGTGTTGCCTCAGAGTGGTCTAGAGGAGTAGGCTTTCAAATATTTATCACCCTGCTCCCCTTTTTGGCATATCACCTCAGTCCCCAGGGGAGCTAGATCTACGCTTTTAACCAAATGATTCCAAGGTCCCAATGTTCACCATTGTAGGGTTAAACTGTTGATCTCTCAGCTGTTTCCAAGACACGGTGGATAGATTGAACACCAACGCAAATATTGGAGGTTTTAAAGTGAAAAGGGGCGGGGTGAGGGCACCAACTTCATTTACACATAGACTATGCAGTCTATAAAGCGTTCTTCATCAATAAAATAATGCATTTTAGTCAGATAGTCGGTACATTTGTAGACCGTTGATCTGAGTAGTAATCAATACTGGTAGCGATAATTACAGGGATTAGTAGCGGTAGTCGGGAGGGATTAACTGTAATTGGTCTACCTGATATAGAATTAAATAAGAAAGAGTTACCTACCATCTTACTCAATTTTGGAATTAGCCAAAATATATGATATTGTAAAGCTTTTCTTTCCCATTTTAAACATAATTTATATGCAATTGTTCAGAACGCGCTTTAATATCTCCCTTTAAAATGACCGAGAGTTAGAATATTGTTGTAGTATTATATTTTATGTTATAAAAACTGCACACCTGCTTAGAAAGATTTTTTTTTATATAAAAATTGTACGACTTCCTAGCGTTGATGTTGTTGTTTCAAACACGGAAGTGACCAACTGTACACTGATGTGTAATCAAAGCTCCCCCAACCCCCGATTGGCCTTTTATCTCAGTTTTTGGCGTGTAGATTGTTACGTGATCAAATGTTACACTTTCACCTACATGAGCAATTTCATCTCTGCTCTGATAGGAGACTGCTACTGCGGCAGTTGTATTCTGATATTGGAGGTATCTTATGTGAAGGGTTACCTCTGATTGGATACTCCATGCTAAATGTGGTCGTTTTCTAATTGAAAGTGTGTATGGTGAGAGGGTGACATTGTGGGAGAGAGAGTGGGAGAGAGAGGGTTCGGGAATGAGTGGGAGTTGGGTGGAGTGAGTTGGAGAGAGGGTGAGTGGGAGAGAGGGTGTGGGAGAGAGGGTGTGGGTGGGAATGGGGTGGGTGAGAGAGATGATGTGTGTGTGAGAGAGAGAGGGTGTGAGAGAGGGAGAGAGAGTGTGAGTGAATGGGAGAGTTGGAGAGAAGGTGTGGGAGTGAGTGGGTTAGTGAATGGGAGTGGTAGAGAGAGTGTATGGGATAGTGTGTGGGAGTGGGGGTGAGTGAGTGAGAGGGTGTTGGAGTGAGTGGGAGAGAGGGTGTGAGTGGGAGAGAGGGTGTGGGAGTGATTGGGTTGGTGAGTGGGAATGGTAGAGAGAGAGTGGTAGAGAGAGTGTATGGGATAGTGTGTGGGAGTGGGTGAGTGGTTGGGGAGAGAGAGGGTGGGAGTGGGTGAGTGAGTGAGTGGGAGAGAGAGGGTGTGGGAGAGAGAGTGAGTGGGAGACGGTGTGGCAGTGAGTGATACCGTTTATAATAATAATATAATAAATGAAGACCGACCCGACATTAGATAGCTTTTTTTTGTTTAAAATGTGTTTGCTTTAGATTGTAGTCGGCGGAGAGAAATTTAAGGACCGGAATAAACAGGATGTTTTTAAATGGAACGCCGGTTTAATATAGGGAATATGCCGGAAACACAAATTAAAGCCGGATTAGACAGGGATCCGTATTAGACAGGGGTCAATTTAGACAGGTTATACTGTAGTTGACAAAATACATTTTGTATGTTGCTATATTGTCAAGTAAAAAGCTTGACTGGATTGACGTTTCTATTCTTGGCAAGTCGCTCGAGTCTTGTAATAGGTATAAAAACTGGTAAATACCAGGGTAGAAAAACAGAAATAGAGTTTTGTGTTTTTGTGTGTGTCTGAAATGATATAGAAAATGAAGTCCTTTTTGTTTTAAAATGTCCATTTTTGCCGATTTACGCAGGTCCTTTAGCAATCCTTACAATATCCGACACATTAGTATGCACAAATTGATTAAGTTGTTTTCAACAGAAAACAAAAATAAAAAGGAAATAGCTAATTTGGCAAAGTATCTAAGAATTGCCAATAGAAAACGACAAAATGTATTGAAGAGTTAGTCAGTAATATACACTAATTGATCAATCAATAAGGTCAGTGAAACATGATAGGCTTTCATACCTGTGATCTCAGTGGCCCGTAATAGACTCAGGACACTTAAGAGAGTTGTTTGTAGTTAAGTTTATGATTTTTACGTCAAGATTGCATTAATACAACACCTGAACTTTCTTTATAAATTAATATACTACTCGAAAGAAATATTATTTTTATTTTCTGATCAGTTTATAAATTTCTAAAAGCATAATATGATAATAATGATTAAATCCGCTGAGGTATAGAAAAGAAATAGAAAATATTAGAGACGTATATACTTTATACATGTATGTCTCTCAGTATACCGAAGTATCATTCGAATTCGACATCGATAACGTAAGAAAACAATGAACGTGAGGAATATAAGTAGATACTATTTTTCGATAATCTAAGAAAACAATGAATTTTTGGTTAACTTGACGCATTCAGTCAAAATATGTTAAAAAATAGATCTGGAATGATTACCCCGCACCAGATAAGCAGTTGTGTGGGGAGTCCTGGAAAGGATTGGAAATCATTTATTGTATATAATCTTTTGTATGTAGATTGTTTTAAAGTAGAGTATATATGTTATGTTGTATTCCATGACGGGAACAAGCTGGTGTCTATCGGATTAATCGACGTGTCCAGTACACAAACCAACAGTCCCACCGTTGACACGTGCCTCTGGAATTGATGTGATATTTTGTATGGTATTCAAATTGAATCTTGAAGACATCGGAATGTAGGTCCCGTTCGTTAGACCACGGAATTAGATTGCTATATATAAGTCCGTGATTAGACTTTATCCAATCAATATGACGTGGATGACGAATTTCATTTTGGATTAAAATGCCTCCTTCAACGAGCTTAGAAGCAAACATGTTTATATAAGAGAATCTAATATTGTGAAAACCTCAGTCTATGAAAGAAAATAATAATTTTCTTTATCGTCTCTCACTGATATTGAAGACAACAGGAAATGTCATATCGAGTTAATGTCGGGAGTGAAGGTTTACTGTATTGTTAATCATAGTCAAAGGATTCTAAGCATTCATTTTACTATGTTACCATTGTAAATAAACGATAAACATTGAAGAAACCTAAAACTCAATTGTACTAAAGACAGTCCCGGGTCATACCTGTACATGAACATACAGGTATGTAACCAATTGAAGCGGTTTTCCGGTTGTTTTTTAGGATCTTGTCATCATTTCAAATCGATCTCCGAACCAAGTTCGTTACTGTTGATTATACTTTGACGAAAACACATTTTGCCGATAAACATTTGTTCACATTAATTCGGGATAAGTAGGTCGCAAATTTAATTGTGTCGTAACATTTCATTCACAGTTGTTTTAAAGAAGGTTTTTATCTGTGACTGATGTCTTTCGTTAAAACAAATCATCGTGCAAATAATATTACAGCGAAAATAAGACAATAACAATAAATAAAACTAAATATAATACACGTTAGATGTAAAAGAGCAAAATATTACCTATATTTATATTGAAACTTCAGCTGATGAACTCGGACCAAACAATTAGTGATACAAGAGGTAAATGATAATTTTAAATTTCAGCACTTGTTGATTGTCTTTAGCTTCCGTAATAGTTTAAATTTCGTTGTATGAAATATATCGTAGTACAAAAATGCTTTGTGTGATTACAATGAAAAGAAGGATCAATGTATATCATTGTCAAAATAATGACTTTTATATTAATAATTGTATTCGTCGTATGTCAACACCACCTGGTCTAATGTTTTTATGACCATGATTCAAAACCACAGTTTGTCTGTTAGTATGATGTTTACCGATCGTTACAAATGGATAAATCGATATAAGACTATATGTAATGGATGGAAGACAAAATCATTTGATTATCCCAGGCGAACACTAAGCACTGCCGTTTTAAAACCAGCCATTTCAGATCGTTTAAGCGAAATCATACCAAAATACAAAAATAATAAAAAAAACAAAAATTAATCGTTACAAAATTATTTACTCTTCCTTTTTCATCTATTTACACATAATACATTTTTGTACTACGAATCTTTTTCATATACAACAATTTGTTTTTGTAATGTTACATTCACTTAACATTTACCAAGTGCTATTAGTGCAACAAGTATTTTGCATGCATATGATTGATGTGAAGGTAGACCATTCTTCATTTAAAGTAGACAACCAATTCCCAAAACAGATATTCTTAGGAATATTTTTCCTCAAACGAAAATTTGATAGCAAAATGTTTGTAATTTTTTTTCCAAGTATGTATCACCTGTTGTTTTCACGCGGTGGTTGGATTCAGAAGATTATCTCTTGACTATTTTAGAAGAAATATGAAATCGATGAATATTTAAGATAGGAATATTATAATAGTAAAACTGGTTCATGATACATGGATAAGTCATGTAGAAAAAGTGGAGAACTAAAGTTTAAATTAACAGAAATAACACCTAGACAATGATGATTTTTTATTTATTTTTTATTTGCAACAATCATATGCATTATTTCAGATAAAATTTGAATGGTTCATTTTTTTAAATTGTTGTATCTTTTTCTGAAAGAATACATGATACAATGCTTACATTTATAGGTGATGAACAATAGCTTGTAGGATATCAACAAAATTTATGATAATGACGAACATTACCGATTGCTTTTGGAATAACAGACGTATTCGAACTAACAGTATTGTCACATTATATTCTATGTGTTTTCTTTGCTTTATTTTTATCCTATCAAGACAAACGTAAGAAGGAAAACTCTTTTCAAAGCATTATTTTTCTTCAATATTTTTCCGTTGTGTTTTTTACAAAATGTGACAAATTATTTACTAAACAAATATATCTTAATAAAATCAATTTTAATATAATGTTAAGTATGATTTTATACAAGTTAAAGACGAAAATATGTAGAGAAGAATTGTGTTCAGTATGGAATATTCTCATTATTTTCGTTTAAGGTGCTTTATTTTGTCAATAGTAATTAAAAAATCTTTTTCGCACAGTGAGTAAATAAAGATAAGATATTTTGCGTAATGCTTTCCTCACAACATTTTTGCTTCTGTGATTTTTGCGCCCAACGATATGACACAATGAGTATACAAAGATGGCAGCTCGTCCTTATTTATTCTGGCACAGGTAAAATCCCTCTACAGTGTCAGAACATCTATGAATTCATCATTTCCACAAATTCTGAAAAAGAAACATCGATAACTGTGTCAGATAAAAACGGCTTCACAACATACTTCAGTAAACTGGTATAGATAATGAATGTGGGCACTGTTGTGGTTTAACATCATAGCTATTTGGATGATGGTCTAGTTTTAATTGCAAGACCATCATTGATTGCATTGTCTAATTAGTAGCCTATTTCCAGAACTGATATATTTGTGTATGTTCCCTTCTTTTCTGTACGCAATTTCTTCTTTCTTAAATAAGATAACTGCAATGCCTTTCTCCTTTTTGCATTTTGCTATTCTTACTGAAAGACGGTCATTTGTAAGAGTTTATTGCACTTATTTCTAGATATTTTATAAACTTTATTACGGTCCAAAGGAGTTGTTTACTGAGAAATCTGTAGAAGACTTTTTATCACTGGTTTGTTCGACTATACTTATCGACGTCACAATAATTATAAATTGAAAAAAGCACTGATGACATAATAATGATTAAATATTTATGGTATATCACTGTAACACAGATCATACGATTTATTCGTAAGGTACATATAGTATACATACATATTATAAATTGTCATAATCAACAAACCTGCGAAATAAACATTAACTGTTGTAATCAATCATTTTAATCCACTTACTTATGTAGTTAACCGTCTTTATTCACTAGCTTTTGAAGATTTACCGTCTAAATTGACTTACTTTTGTAGTTTACCGTCACAATCTTCATTGTAATAAACTTGGTTAATAACCATATCAATCTATTCACGTTTCGAGTTAACGACCTTACTCAGCTAAACATTGTAATCTTGTTCCACTAACTTTTCGAGTCAATTGCCTAACTCCGGTAACCTATATAGTAAACAGTCTCAATCCACTAACCTTTCGAGTGAGCTGCCTTACACTACTTTCATATGTACATCTTGTAGTTAAAAGGTTAAATCCACTAACTTTTCGAGTTAACCGTCTTACTCTGCTAACCGATGTAGTTAACAGTATGAATTCACTAACTTTTCGAGTTAACCTCTTACTCTGCTTACCTATGTAGTTAACAGTACGAATCCACTAACTTTTCGAGTTAACAATCTTACTCTGCTTACCTATGTAGTAAACAGTATGAATCCACTAATTTTTCGAGTTAACCGTCTTACTCTGCCAACCGATGCAGTTAACAGTATGAATTCACTAACTTTTCGAGTTTAACCGTCTTACTCTGCTTACCTATGTAGTTAACAGTATGAATTCACTAACTTTTCGAGTTAACCATCTTACTCTGCTTACCGATGTAGTTAACAGTACGAATCCACTAACTTTTCGAGTTAACCATCTTACTCTGCTAACCGATATAGTTAACAGTACGAATCCACTAACGTTTCTAGTTAACCATCTTACTCTGCTTACCTATGTAGTTAACAGTATGAATCCACTAACTTTTCGAGTTAACAATCTTACTCTGCTTACCTATGCAGTAAACAGTATGAATCCACTAACTTTTCGAGTTAACCATCTTACTCTGCTTACCTATGTAGTTAACAGTATGAATCCACTAACCTTTCGAGTTAACCATCTTACTCTGCTAACTGATGTAGTTAACAGTCTTAATCCACTTACTTTTCGAGTTGAACGTCCTTCTCTGGTAACCTTTTTAAGTTAATAGTCTTAATCCACGATCTTTTCGAGTAAACCTCCTTACTGCACTAAGCTATGTAGTAAACAGTCTCAATTTACTAACTTTCGAATCAACCTCCTTACTCGGCTAATCTATGTAGTTAACAGTCTCAATTCACTTGTTTTACGAGTTACATTTTGGCTACCGCCTTACTCCGCTAAACTACATTTTTATGTTGTTAACAGTCTCAATCCACTAACTTTTGTAGTTGATATTCCCGTCGTCGTTTTTGTCAGCACTGTGTATCAGTTCCTCGACCTCATCAAACGTCAAGGCCTCCCCCAGAGTGGTCAGCGCCTCTCGAACCTGGTTGACCGTTAGGAAACCCTTCATATCCTTGTCAAACACCCGGAACGCCTCCAAAAGCTGTTTCTTTGAGTAGGCGTCAATCCCGTCTTTCATCATCAATGTTATAAACTCTGGTAGATCTATACAACCGTTACCTTTACATGTAGAGGTAAAACAGACAAACATGTTTCAGTGTGTCAACCAACAAGGACTAAATACACCACAGTGTCAACAATTACGGACAAATTATACAAACATATACCAGGGTGTCAACCAACAAGGACTAAATACACCACAGTGTCAACAATTACGGACAAGCTATACAAACATGTACCAGGGTGTCAACAAAAAAGGACTAAATACACCACAGTGTCAACAATTACGGACAAACTATACAAACATGTACCAGTGTGTCAACCAACAATGACTAAATACACCACAGTGTCAACAATTACGGACAAGCTATACAAACATGTACCAGTGTGTCAACCAACCCGGACTAAATACACCACAGTGTCAACAATTACGGACAAACTATACACACATATAGCAGTGTGTCAACCAACCCGGACTAAATACACCACAGTGTCAACAATTACGGACAAACTATACAAACATGTACCAGTGTGTCAACCAACCCGGACTAAATACACCGCAGTGTCAACAATTACGGACAAGCTATACAAACATGTACCAGGGTGTCAACAAACAAGGACTAAATATACCACAGTGTCAACAATTACGGACAAACTATACAAACATGTACCAGTGTGTCAACCAACAATGCCTAAATACACCACAGTGTCAACAATTACGGACAAACTATACAAACATGTACCAGAGTGTCAACCAACCCGGACTAAATACACCACAGTGTCAACAATTACAGACAAACTATACATACATATAGCAGTGTGTCAACCAACCCGGACTAAATACACCACAGTGTCAACAATTACGGACAAGCTATACAAACATGTACCAGTGTGTCAACCAACAAGGACTAAATACACCACAGTGCCAACAATTACGGACAAACTATACAAACATGTACCAGTGTGTCAACCAACAAGGACTAAATACACCACAGTGTCAACAATTACGGACAGACTATACCTGGTCCAGTGCCCGTCAATATGCGGGGACAAAATATACAACATGGTGAGTACACAAGGATAAGATCCTATCTCAAAGTTGATCACGTAAAGATAACAGCAGAAACAGAAGAATTGTTAGACAACAGACCCTCTCAGAAAACTTAAACGCCACAAAACTGGGTGCTTCAGGAAAGAATAAACTGGTTCTGCACTTCATGTGAAACAGTTATCTGCCATCATGTCTCTTGTCAAGGCCAAGGGAATATGCAGGTCACCAATATCCTAAGACACAGTGGACACATATTTTAATTGTAGACACTGAGGTCTCGCGGTTGAAATCTAGTGCGAGTGATGACATCATTGTTACAAATCTTTAACAAGACACAAGTACTAACATAAAGACAACATTAACGAAAGGCTGTATTGTTTTGCAAGTAAATGTTATCCTAGATGTAAAAAAAATAAATAAATCCGGAAATGAAATACTAAATTGTAAAAACAATACCCGATTTAAAAGTGATACAGTAAAATATATCTACGATATACTAGATAAATAGACAGGAAGCTGTCATCTTTTACTTAGTGGATTGAAGACATTTACACATTTTCATAAACACTGTTTATTAAATTCTATAAATGATGATTAAATATAATGTGAAGTTGAGGGATTCTTTTCAGCCAATTTCGTAGCAAACAACTCAATGTTTAATTGCTATGAAAACTTTGCATATGTCACTCTGGTAAAATATTTGCCGCTTCCTACCGTCTCGGCTAGGGAGAATTTCTCTTTAGCTCATTCGGTAGAGCGTAAGACTAGTAAACCAGAGGACCCGGGTTCGACTCCTAGCGGAGGCATTGCAAAATAATGACATCTGTTACATATACATAAAGAAATCAAGAATGTCAAGAGTGTGTTTCCTTGCCAACGATATTTGAGTAAATGAGCAGCTTACCGCTACAGTCGACTTGTTCAATGAAATGTCTCACTTCGGCGTCAGTAGGTACCTGTCCCATGGAGAGCATCATGGACGCCAACTCCTTGGAATTGATAGAACCGTCACCATCTTTGTCAAATAAATCGAATGCTTCCTTAAACTCTAGAAATTAAAATAAATTAAAAAAATATTATTTAGACATCTGATACATGTTTTTTTTTATTGAAATGTAGTCTTTGATATCGAACCAAATTCTTAAAATACATTATATAGTTCCATTGTAAAAAAATCCATTTTTTCATGATATCGTCTCACCGTTCCAAAATCATGTTATCAGACAGAAAGTGCATTTAGTCATCTAGATAAAGACCAGAAGGAAAGAAAACACAATAGCTTAGTAGACAATTGGGGCTGATATACAGGACCCAGATATATCAAGATTCATTAGTAAATGGTCTATTTATATGTAGGTGAAAGTTACATCAGTGACTTGTTTATGCTATTAGATCAAAATAACTATGTCATTGAGTTCAAAATGATCACATTTAGATAATATATGCAGCATAACTGTAAACGTTCATATTTTACCAGTTATCTAATTATAGCACTTTCCGTGCATTACATATTGTGCTTAATTATAATTGCACCATTAACAGTTTCTGTATTTAGTTTCCTTAAGGTTTGAAATGCATCTTTTTAACATTTATGAGGGTATGCAACACAGTTCCGTTCAAACATATTCCATTATGCGCGTTAGCGCATCTTAAAGAATATGTTTGAACGGAAATGTGTAACATAACCTCATAAATGTTAAAAAGATGCATTTCAAACCTTATATTTACATTCTATTACATCCACTTTTATTATTCGAAATTAAGAAAAAAATGCCCTTTTTTCACGTTAAAAAGCAAAACACCGTCATGAAAACAATATTAATTGAACAGCCTTTTTCGCGGGAAAGATGATGCGTTGTCAACGGTGAAGATATGCACAGTTGAGCAATAAACAAATAGTTCCACTCCGCATAAATTTTAATAATTTAATTTACATTACCAGCATGCTAACCAAGCATTGGTTATCTTTAAAATTGTTGACAAAAGATCTTAATTTAAAACAAAAATACCATGTTAAATATTTAAGTTGCAAAAAGTCAGAAATTTATTCCGTATTTGCGAAGACAGCTGACCGTTAAAAAACAGTTGTGAAGCGGCTACGCTCATCAGGCTACGAAGCGGTTCGACTTTCTAACGAGATAGAAAGTGCATCCGTGAAATGTGGAGTTTCCTAAGAAACCAGATGACGATTTAAAAGATGCTGTTGGCTGAATTCTTGTGTCGATCGTCTGTGTCAACAGGACTAGCTCATCGTTTGAGCATTCGGCATGTATTACTATCGATAAGGGGACTGCCCGACGAGCCGGGACTATTTCACCTGCTTCGCCACTTGCAACGGACGCTAGTTTAGATTCTAGAGGACAGTGAATTATTCTGTTCTGTTGAAAAGGACCTGTTATAGGATCTTACAGCTGACACGCTTCGATGGCCCGCCATAAACATTATTTGCCTTTCTAGGGACACGTCCGTGAAGTCGCTGTCAGACATATTGGCTGGAGCACAAGGGTTCGTTACAAATATCTGGGGCTGGAATTAGCAAACGACGTATTTAAGACGCTGAATACGCGGACAGAGGTCATGCAACAGTACATGTAGTATTGCTAATATTACTACACACTTGCTTTTATTGAATCATACAAACATTTTGAGTTGGTACTGTTATCTAGAGCCCAAATGTAAATATTATTGCATATATTGTAAGTGCGTAAATTAATCTATACATATTTCTGTTAAAATTGAAAAAAATATGCTAAAATTTAAGCCCACGGAAACAGTATTTCTACAATACTCACATATCCTCACTAACTTTCAAAACCCTGCTTAAAAGGAATGTATCAATACGTTTACATACCGTGATGCACACATAGCCTTAAATGAGTTCATTTCACATGCAATTTATGAATCGAATGTTTTGAAAGCGATAATCTGCCGAATCACATACGAAATAAATAACAAAAAACTATTTTCTTTCTATCACATTTGAAAATAAAAAGAAACTTGTTCCCACCGTTTTCAATTTTGTCATTATTTATGTAATTTTCAAAGCGACAAACAATGTCTTCAAATAATGTCTATTGTCCTAAGTATGACGGCACAATGGTGTACATTTCATAGGTGCATTCATTGCATTAAATGACAATAATGTGCTTAAAACTGATCCAGATGTTTTGTTTTGTTTTGTTTTTGTACTGTTGAACGTCCCATCGACAATGTAAGTCATTTATGGCCAATAACTAATTATTAAGAAATACGTACTAAGGAATATAAACAAATAGTTATAACCGATTGGTAACCATTTACTTACCCCTGTATTGTTCTGCAGTCAGTGTGTCCATCTTGGAGTAGACACAATACAATAACCACAAACAAAATCTCGATTAAAAAACAGATATAAGCTGTACGATTCTCTGAAGCAAGTCGTTCACATATATCCTGCTTATGGCAACTCAAAAGGCTTTCAAGACCACACTTGAAGACATTCAAAATATTTCAGAGGGAGAAGTTAATTTCTACGTTGAATGTTACCCTCAGATCTAAAGCCATCTTTACCAGGTTGTGGTTGAAATACATTGACCTAATGGTCCCTTCGTCGAAAACGTATGGCATATTTGCTGGTAGGATACCATCGGTTTTGTCATAAGAGTCAAGAGCCTGGATCTGGACATCTCAGATGTCGACGGTAAAGTTGGTTCAAACCAATAAAGGGTAGAATAACGACTTGTATCTTTTGTAAGTGACGGTAAGACGTAAATAGATGTGACTAAGGTACATACAACTGTTAGGATTAGAATAACGTTAGCTTACCAGTCGTTTAAATGTCTAGCTAGAAATTATTGATTTTTTAAATACGGTAAGACATATAACATTTTTATATTGTAACCAAAACATGCATTATCCATTTAGAGTTGAATTAGGATGCACAAGAAGGACCGGGAATGTCCTTGACATTTAAATCAACGTTAAGCCCAATATCTGCCTTAAGTTTGAAATTTCATTTCATATATCTCCAGAAAGTTTGTGGTATGTTCAGTTTTGTGTGATGACGCTGTGGTGTGTTCTTTTATTGTGAATTGACATTGTGACATGGTCTGTTATTGTGAGTTGACTCTGTGATAGGGTCTATTTTTGTGTAATGGCGCTGTGGTATGGTCTGTTATTGTGTGTTGACACTGTGGTATGGTCTGTTATTGTGGGTTGACGCTGGGATATGGTTTGTTATTGTGTATTGACGCTGTGATATGATCTGTTATGGTGTGTTGACGCTTTGTTATGTTTTCGAGTTCTGGCGGCATGGTGTGTTCTGTTATTGTGTGGTATGTTAATATATGTTGACACTGTTGTGTGGTCGATTATTGAGTATTGACATTGTGGTATGTTCTGTTATTGTTCTGTTTTTTTCAGTTATAGTGTATATTCGCTGTTGTGTCATCTGTCATTGTGTGTTGACACTGTGGTGTGATCTGTTATTGTGTGTTGAGACTGCGGTGTGATCGGTTGTTTTGTGTTGACACTAGGGTGTGATCTGTGATTGTGTGTTGACACTATCGTGTGATCTGTGATTGTGTGCTGACACTGTAGTGTGATCTGTTATTTAGGTGTTGAAACTAAAGTGTGATCTGTGATTGTGTGTTGACACTGTGGTGTGATCTGTTATTGAGTGTTGACACTGCGGTGTGATCGGTTGTTGTGTGTGAACACTGTGGTGTGATCTGTGATTGTGTGTTGACACTGCGGTGTGATCTGTCATTGTGTGTTGACACTGTGGTGTGATCTGTTATTGTGTGTTGACACTGCGGTGTGATTGGTTGTTTTGTGTTGACACTAGGGTGTGATCTGTGATTGTGTGTTGACACTATCGTGTGATCTGTGATTGTGTGCTGACACTGTAGTGTGATCTGTTATTTAGGTGTGAACACTGTGGTGTGATCTGTGATTGTGAGTTGACACTGCGGTGTGATCTGTCATTGTGTGTTGACACTGTGGTGTGATCTGTGATTATGTGTTGACACTGTGGTGTGATCTGTTATTGGGTGTTGACACTGTGGTGTGATTTGTTCTTGTGTGTTGACACTGTGATATGATCTATTATGGTGTGTTGACGCTTTGGTGTGCTATGTTTTCGAGTTCTGACGGCATGGTGTGATCTGTTATTGTGTGTTGACACTGCGGTATGATCTGTTATTCGGTATTGACACTGTTGTTTTAGTTTGTTATTGTATATTGACACTGTTGTGTGATCTGTTATTATGTATTGAAAGTATGGTGAAGTCTGTTAATATATGTTGACACTGTTGTGTGGTCGATTATTGAATATTGACATTGTGGTATGTTCTGTTATTGAGTATTTAAGCAGTGGTTTTTTTCTGTTATAATGTATATTCGATGTTGTGTGATATGTCATTGTGTGTTGACACTGCGGTTTGATCTGTCATTGTGTGTTGACACTGCGGTGTTATCTGTGATTGTGTGTTGACACTAGGTTGTGATCAGTTATTGGGTGTTGACACTGCGGTGTGATCGGTTGTTGTGTGTGTACACTATGGTGTGATCTGTTATTTTGTGTTGACACTGTGGTGTGATCTGTTAGTGTGTCTTGACGCAGTGGTATGGTATGCTATTGAGTTCAGCCGCTATGGTGTGTTCTGTTACTGAATATTGACACTGTTGTATGGTCTGTAACTGAGTTGTGACACTGTGGTATGATCTGTTATTGTGTGTTGACACTGTGGTATGATCTGTTATTGAATATTGACACTGTGGTATGATTTGTTATTGAGTATTGACACTGTGGTATGGTCTGTTATTGTGTGTTGACACTGTGGTATGGTCTGTTATTGAGTATTGACACTGTTGTATGGTATGTTATTGAGTATTGACACTGTAGAATGGTCGGTTACTGAATAATGACACTGTGGTATGGTCTGTTATTGTGTGTTGACACTGTGGTATGGTCTGTTATTGTGTGTTGACACTGTGGTATGATCTAATATTTAGTATTGACACTGTGGTATGGTCTGTTATTGAGTATTGACACTGTGGTGTGATCTGTTATTGTGTGTTGACACTGTGGTATGATCTATTATTTAGTATTGACACTATGGTATGGTCTGTTATTGAGTATTGACACTGTGGTGTGATCTGTTATTGTGTGTTGACACTGCGATATGTTCTGGGATTGTGTTTTGACGCTGTGGTATGGTCTGTTATTGAGTATTAACACTATGGTATGATCTGTTATTGTGTGTTGACACTGTGGTATGGTCTGGTATTGAATATTGACACTGTGGTATGATCTATTATTTAGTATTGACACTGTGATATGGTCTGTTATTGTGTGTTGACACTGTGGTATGGTCTGTTATTTATTATTGACACTTTGATTTGTTCTGTTATTGTATGTTGACACTGTGATATGTTCTGTTATTGTATGTTGACACTGTGGTATGGTCTGTTATTTATTGTTGATATTGTGGTATGGTCTGTTATTGTATGTTGACACTGTGGTATGGTCTGTTATTGTGTGTTGAGACTGTGGTATGATCTGTTATTTAGTTTTGACACTGCGATGTGTTCTGTTATTTATGTTGACACTGTGGTATGGTCTGTTATTTATTATTGACACTGTGATATGGTCTGTTATTGTGTGTTGAGACTGTGGTATGATCTGTTATTTAGTTTTGACACTGCGATGTGTTGTGTTATTTATGTTGACACTGTGGTATGGTCTGTTACTTATTATTGACATTGTGATATTTTCTGTTATTGTATGTTGACACTGCGGTATGGTCTGTTGTTTATTATTGACACTGTGATATGTTCTGTTATTGTATGTTGACATTGTGGTATGGTCTGTTATTTATTGTTGATATTGTGGTATGGTCCGTTATTGTGTGTTGACACTGTGGTTTGGTCTGTTATTGTGTGTTGACACTGCGATATGTTCTGGGATTGTGTTTTGACGCTGTGGTATGGTCTGTTATTTATTATTGACACTGTGGTATGTTCTCTTGTTGGATGTTGATACTGTGGTATGGTCTGATATTGTGTGTTGACACTGTGGTATGGTCTGTTATTGTGTGTTGACACCGTGGTATGATCTGTTATTGTATGTTGATACTGTGGTATGGTCTGTTATTGTATGTTGATACTATGATATGTTCTGTTATTGTGTGTTGACACCGTGGTATTGTCTGTTATTGTATGTTGATACTGTGGTATGGTCTGTTATTTAGTTTTGACACTGTGATATGTTCTGTTATTGTGTGATGACACTGTGGTATGGTCTGTTATTGAGTATTGACACTGTGGGATTTGTATGTTATTGTCTGTTGACTTAGTGGTGTGTTTTGTTATTGTGTGGTAACACTATTGTTTTCTCTGTCAGCATGTTTTGACAAAGTTGAAGTTATCACTTATGTTATGTCGCTATGGTATATGTTGTGCTATGAGTGTTGGCTCGCTGGTACCTGCTAAATTTCTGTGGTGTATTTTGTCATCGTATGTTGTCGTTATAATTTCTTCTAATTTCGTTTGTTAAGGCTGTTATAATTAATGTTCTATTCAGTATTCCTCAAAACACGTTTGATTAAAAAAAAACAAATCCGATAAACTTTCTTTAGAGTTCCACATACGTGTAAACGTTCTTTGGAGTTCTACATACGTGGTAATTTGCGTTCTACATACAAAATGTATGTGTAAACGTGCTTTTAATTTTTACAGAGCAAGCAACATTGATTGATATCAATTCAACACTTCCCTAATTAACTGAAAAATCAAATAATATCATGATCATGTTTTACAGCATTCCAAAATAAATAAACCACATATATCTGAACTAATGAATCATGCCTAGAGCATGACATTCTCCAGGTTGCTCCGCATTGCAGTCCGACGCAGTCTGCGGTGGTCTGGATATATCGACGCTCTATTGTACCACGGGGGGTCTGCCAGCATAGTTACTATTGATTTTGTCCGGGCTAGTGCAGCAAACGAGCCTGTGATGTTAACGTAACACGTTACTTGTTCACAAAGGATTGACACTCTGACAGAATCTGTGACATAAAAGTCAGTTTGCAATGTTAGGACCTATTAATCATAACTGGAGCAGTTTGCCTGCAAAGGCTGTGGTATGGTTATTCAAAGAAGTAGTAAGTCATACATCTTTTTCCCTTATAAGGAAGTTCCAGAGTTACATTGTATTAGTAGTTCCGATGGTGATTATAGGGTTGATCATAGCAACGGTGTTTCAATATGACGTCTTCCTTAACAACGGCCGGGGGTTGTGGTTACGTCATTTTGACGTTACATGTGGGATTAGGGGAGGGAGTACTCATTTGACCGCTTAGCGTTGACTTTTGGTCGACCTGGACCACTTAGCGTTGATCTTGAGTTGACCTGGACCGCGTAGCGTTACCATGACCCGCGTAGTGGGTGACTCACTGTGCGTATAGCTGTAGAATGATATGCAGTAAAAATATTATTTACAGTTGTTTGTTTCTGATCTAAGAATGAGGGGAAGAATTCTGTCAGTTGACTTGATTAATTAAAGAATTCTGTCATTTGACATAACAACAACCCAGTTGCTAAGGAAGATGTCATCTTGCAACGCGATTGCAATGAACCTACCCTTTAATTACTCCCCATATTACCATCACAATAATTGCAAGGTGTATGATAGTTTAGTCGGTTCAGCAAGGCTCCTTTTGTCAGAGAAAGGTGTCATGTATCATGAACTATTGATTATCTGAAATGATCTATGTTACTATACATATCAAGTATAACTCTTTATATACAAGTAGCTATATATTGTGACAGTTCAGTATGTCCTGGTAGATATTGAGTTATAGCCCCTATATAGCAAGATATTTCTATTGTTGGGTATATCCTGGTTACATGTTAAAGTTTAAATACAGCTTTATGCATGTATTATAACAAAAAATTGTAAAACCAGGATACATATCGACTTAACTACATATTGTACCAGTTCAGCATTTCCATGTTACATATCGACTTAACTACATATTGTAACAGTTCGGCATATCCATGTTACATATCGACTTAACTACATATTGTAACAGTTCGGCATATCCATGTTGCATATCTAGTTAACTATATACGTTGTTTCAGTTCGGCATATCAATGTTACATATCGAGTTAACTATATACGTTGTTTCAGTTCGGTATATCCAGGTTACATATCGGGTTTGGCATATCAGGTTTTCATATCGGGTTAACTATATATATATATATATATATAATAAAAAGGGATTAAATGTCCATGTGAAGGAAGTAAATATAGAAAAAATCAGATTAACGACCGACTAAAAAACTAGCTGCTTTCACCCTTCACAGGGCTCTTCAACCTGAAGATTAAGCTGGATCATTAAAAACCTGAAGAGCCCTGTGAAGGGTGAAAGCAGCTAGTTTTTTAGTCGGTCGTTAAACCTATTTTTTCTATATATATATATATCTATATCCTGGTTACATGTTAAATAAACCATCAATAATAATGATAAATAAACATCAATCCGCCTGAAGAAGCCCTAGAAAGCAGAAAGGCCTAGCGGACGATCTGAAAAATTTGTTTTTATTCTATATTTTCCTTCGCAAGGACTTATTTATTTATTATCTACTATATATATATATATATAAATATATCAAGTTGAATTCCTTATATAGCTCACTGCATATTTGTAACAGTTGGACAATAACAGGTTGCATATTAAGTAATATCCATCGTATAACAATATATATTGTTACAGTTATGTATATACAAATTATTACTTATTATTCAAGTTTTAGTTTAGCTATACATTATAACTCCATTTTATATTTCGTGTTTAATATATATATTTGTTTAAAATATTTTTACACTCATATAGCATGTAATGATTTACAGCTTTTATTGTTGATATTGTCCTCCAGTGCAATAACCTATCAACAGTGCACGCTTCAGGTTAAATCTGCTATTGTTCAGGTCTTTTTTAATGATCCAGCTTAATCAAATATTCAGTCCAGGTCCGCATGGAAAATATTATAAATTGTTTTGATTTGTTTCATCTGTGGAAAACATGGACGGAGAAATAAAATTTGCATCTCTGTTAACTTAATTTATTGGCTCAAATATGAGGACAGAATAAGTAGAGAATGTAAGTTTAAAAGTGTGTAGTATACTTTTTGTGGCAAACGAGAATGTAGTGGACTAGAAACCAGTAAAAAAACTACTATAACTTTCAAACATGTATGGTATTTAATAATATCAGGGTCAGAATCATTTCAACACAGTCTGTGTTCCAATTTTTCCAGCTGTGCACGGAATTCTGAAAATAGATCAAAAGTACATACATCAAACAGACCGCTGTATGAAAAATAACGCTTCTCAATTCTCACAAAACAAATAATGCAAACAAATGAATGAGGAGGTAAGGAGAGAATGATATGATTTCATAGGTACCATTACATCTACATCGACAGAACAATAATACATGTAATACATATTAATGTATTTAAATGCTTTTGTTGCTTTTGTCAAAACCGTTGATTGCCAAAATGATGTATGATACTCTTTTCATCTTTTCCTACAACATCCTCAACATGTTATTCTCGAACTATAACCATACTCCTTGAGGACGCCACATTTTTGGACAAATGTTGGAAGTATAATGATGATTACAAACGATTATCATTGCATTTGCAAAGAACAACATATGTACAAAAAGTTAAGAATCTGGACCCGTATTAATGAAACAGTTCTCATGCTCAGGCTTTGATTTTGTGTTCAAGACAAATTTCTTGATTCGGTTATAAATTAATAAAATAAATCTGATTTTGTGAGCGAACAAGAAAACTTTGAGGAAATTTTAAAGCAAGATACTGTTTGCAATGTTTATATTTTGCGTTGTGATCGTTTGGCGTGTTTTTAGCGAGTTACAAGAAGATTGGTTTGAAACCAGAATGCATGCTTGAGCTTGAGAACGAATTCATGAATACGGGTCCTGGTGTTTCATTTATATGTTTAACAAGAACGATAACTCCACGTGTTGACATATCTTTATGTAGATAGTATTTATTATAATATCAATAAAAAAAAACCAGAAATGGTGTTTACAGATAAAATGGACAGCCTCCCTAAAACAAATCTTTCTGACTTTTCGACCAAATTACCAAATTATTGTTTCTATGTAAGAATCCATTCATTTTTCATTCATTCATGTATGTTTTTTTTCTTTACCTGATTTGTATAACCTGTATTCATTCGCTTATGCTGAATGCTTAACAACTTAGGCTAAAAACCATTCCATATTCAATAACGTATTTCTTACATCGGGACAATCACTAAAGAACAGAAAGTAAATCATGCGCCATATATACATGTATCTATTTAGATCAGAGTTAGTGACACTCTGTCAGTGTGTATATAAATCGTCTTAATCACTTGCTAGTCAATACACAACACAAGATTGTTTTTCCCCTTAATAACCCTATATCATAAGTCCGTCTGTATCTAGATCTAAATATCCCCGGAACCATTAAACAAAAAACCTCTCCTATAATTCCTACCTTTATAGTTGATCTTTCCGTCGTTATCTCGGTCAACCCTGGCAATGATGTCATTGATTTCATCGTCAGAAACATTCTACCCGATGTTCTGAAGTACTAACTTGAGTTCCGAATGGGTGATGTAGCCATAGTCATTTTTGTCGTACACTCGGAAGCTAGATTTTATCTGATCATCGGTCCTCATATCGTTGTAAAACATTTGGAATAGGTACATGAATCCCTTGAAGTCAAGGGTCCCATTGCCTACAACAATCATTAATAGATATAATAGATTACGCTTGTACTTTAATAATGACTGTAATGGTCGAAATGTGGGTTGACATTTCCTTCAGGTACGTCATATTGTTTTACCTGATGGAAGTGCCAGGGTATGTACCGCACTAGTCATCGAAACGTCACACATAAAGCACTTACTGGTTGTGATACATAACCGTTCTTTCTACAAAACAAAGATGGTCGTTTTGGACAGGCATATCTTTATATTGCGTTGTAAATGAAATAAATAATATTTATTTTGGTGTTTATTTATAGGGAAACCAACAAAATGTCATATTCTATCATGTAGATATTCCCTTCTTTTCAAAAGAGCCCCATGGTAAAATGTATGCAAACTATAGATAAATGGTCATTTCACCAGGTCAATTTTACTGAATTGAAGTATTTACGAATGCCTCCTTACAAACCATAATAATTGGACAACTTATTCGAGCTTAAACATAATTATATAAAATGTCAAAGAAAATAGTACTAGCACAAATCACAACTATCATGTATACGACAACGATTATCCTTAAGTACCTTCTGGATCCCCGTCACTGACAAGCTCTTCTAACTCCTCTATGGTAGAAATAAATCCCATGTTTTTAAGCATCTCCCCGAGTTCTGCCGTGGTGACTCTCCCATCCCGATCCTGATCAAAGATCTGGAATGTTTCTAGACATTCTGTAAAGAGGATCATTGTATTTTAAAACGTACAGTGAATCATCTTAAATTAGACAAAGACTAGCTTCTATCAAGCAATATGAATGTACAGATAAAAGGGCTGATATTTCATATATGAGAAACGAATCAAACAGTTCCACAGGAGGTTTAAATAGTTCCACAAAAACAACAACACTAGACTCAATGTTATTGAAATGACAGTGTCATTCATTTTTGATAAACTCTATCCATTATCAAATTATGTATGTGCAATCACACGCGTGTGGTACGGTTATTGTTCAATTAAACAACAACACCATGGAGAACTGAGTAAATAACACACCAATCTATTAAATAAAAGCTTCATCGTTGATCTGTAACTAGCTTGTGTAACATTACGGGTAGGTGTGGGTTATATAAAACCCCATTGATTGACTCTTTCATTGTGTCTATATGATTAATGCAGATAATTCTTTAAATGCCCCGGACATAACACAAGTACATTGCTATTATATCATTTAAGTCCTTTTGACCTTTGATCTATACTATTTGAAATTGTGTTTCGTGGTCAGGTAGACTGCAAACAATATCATAAACATAACCGCATTTCTCGTTAGCATTGTTTGCATTTCTTTCAGCGACATTAAGTATGCCGTCTTTTCAAGTCTGTCTGCGTTCAAAATTTAGCATACCGTGTAGACCTACCTACTCACTGAGAAATAGTAGGCTACCTTTCTATTTCTAATATACCTTGCATGATAAATTGCTTCCTGCATGAATTGAGAATAAGACGTTGATAGACGAAATGTTCTCACCTTTGCATTATTGATAGAAGAAATAATAAGGTAAACAAATCGTAACAGTAATTTTCCTGACACACTATCAATCCTAATTGAACATTAACGGTCTTAATGACCATCGTCATGTAACATACTGTACTAAAGACACACCCACCTTGTCTTTGTTTCTTGTTAAGATCATCAGCCTGCAATTTATTGAATAGAAACACACTGAATTACCTTTATTCGACACACCGACATTACCTATAACATTATACGACATTGATTTAGTCCTGTATACCTGACAAAATCACTCTAAGACGTTTTAATAAATCATATATAATTACTAATGATGATCACGTAGAACTCAATATTTTCAATACATGTATCAATCTGTTTAAAATAGGGACAATCTGTTTAAAATGTTAACTTTTTAATGGCAAAGGGAAGCATCGTGGAAAAATTAGATATGTACAGTACACACATATAGATGTTTTAAAACTAAATATTTACTACTCGTAATGTAAGAAGAATGTAATACAAAAGACATTTAACAGAAGATGCCTCAATTGGTTGAAACACTGTATTTTATTTTAGATAATTATGATTGTAGGAATTAATAAACCTATGTGGTTATTATATATTCACAAGTGAAAACATTTAAAAACAAATATTTCAATGCAATGCATGCATATGCGTTCAATGACTTCATCATCATAACTTTATTGACAAAACCGTCTAGCATTATCATCTCAATCTTTATTCTGGCCAATTATTATGGTGTTGCCTTTTCTTTTCCAGATGTGATAATCTGTTAAAATACGCAAAAACAAAATACGATATATATTTCTATCGTTTTACTTTAAACCCAAAACAGAAAGTATATATCTTTGTAGAATCAGATTTAAAGTTACCATCGGTGGTGGTACATGTATACAAATTCACCTGGGGTAAATTTTCAAACACAAATTCCCAGCAACACCATACGGGCATCGGGGTTAACAAATCAGAAAATGTTAATATGGATGCGTGCGCATTTTTTGATATTTCCGCTAAAAACAATGTCTGTAACATAAGTAGTTGACCAGTAGCATTGTTGAGAATGAGCTTTAGGTAACTTTTGTCCTCTTGTCTAACAAACCCAAGGTTAAACTTTTCAATATATATATATATATATCATAATAGATAATGCAATTTTATCAATCAATGTCTGGTTTAAGAATCTACATTACAAGACAACACACATAGGTTAATAATCAATATTTTATTATTGATTGCTTTGTGAAATATGTAACAACAATATGAAGACACAACACAAACAGTTTGTTGACTATGATGTCCATGTCAATAAAACCTTCACAGAAGGTAGAGTAAATAATTGGAGTTCTTTTATACCATTCATTTCAACATGTCAATCAAAATACTAGCCACGTCCTATTGAATCTGTTTGGGATTATTTCCATTTAGCTCACTTGGTGGAGCACTTGACTAGTATCAGCAGTCCTGGGTTTGACACTTTGCGGAGGCACTGCGATTGATGACGTCGAATACACGAGAACAAGACATATGCAACCGGAAGTCGGTTTGTTGAACATAAATAATAGTCAAATAACAGGAATGATTATTCCGGATTGTTGCAAACGCATCAGACGTCGTGAATTATCAACTGATGGCTGACTTGGGGAAGGCGTCACCAAATGATTTGGCTATTTGCGTAGTATGGACGTGAATTCTGAAATACAAATAAGTATCATTTAGAAATATAATCATGAATATCAAATGAAAACATAAAAACCCCTTTCATTTTTTCCATATAACATATCAATCAGTCCCTTAACAAAAAATAAATAAATAAAAACATGAATGCTTCAGTTATCTTGTACATTGTATCGGTAATCAGATTCACCATTCACAAACATTGTGGAATTTACATTTTGTTTTTGATAGCATTATACACACAATCAATTTTATTTTTCATTAATTTCTACGTTATGAAAATCCAAATATTTTTTATATATATATATATATATATTTATCAGTAATATAGCAGCAACAATTAAACATTTTTCAATTTAAACAAATTGCCTCTAGTGGTAACAATAACTAAAGCAAAATCTACCTTTATAGTTTAGTTGTCCATCGCCGTCTTCGTCGGCTTCCTTTATCATCTCGTCTATTTCCTCGTCTGTCAGTTTCTCCCCGAGGTTATACATAACGTTCCGGATTTCAGCTGCTGTAACCATTCCGTTCCCGTCCCTGTCAAACACTTTGAAAGTTTCTTTCATTTCGGTTTCTCCTCCCGCTTCCGTCATCTTTCGGACAAGCAAAATAAGAAATTCCGGGAAATCCACAGTTCCGTCTCCTGCGAAATAGAAGGATGTGAAATAAAGTTAAGATGGTTTGGTTCGGTAATGCCTTTGTAATATATTTGTTTGTGTGTTTATAATTATTTATTTGTTCTCGCTAGCGCTACAGACATAGAAGGAGACACCGCCAAATAGAAAATAAAAAAAATGATGATAAATGAAGAGCTATTACGTTGTATTGATAATACACATACATATTTAGGGGAGACATTGTTTGTTTAATTGTTTTCTCTATGGTTGCTATGAAAACAACCAGATAGATGAGAGCTTCCCAAAATCGACTAAATTATCAAATGACAATCATGGATGTGAATGGCAACTAGAAACCATCGAAACAAAGATTAAAAACACAAGTAAACATTTCCATAATAACATTGGAGAAGTATTGCAAATAACAACAAAACAGCGATAGATTCAGTTTAATGTTTTAAATTTTGATGGAATCGGGGGGTCGAAATAGCTAAACCATACATATTCTTGTAGTTTTCAAAAAAAGTGTGGTCACTTTGACGAAATATGAAATGTATACCAACCATCTGCATCAACCTCGTTGATCATTTTTTTCAGCTCGGAGGCTGAAGGATTCTGACCAAGTGCTCGGAGAACTGTGCCCAGTTCAGCGGTAGGAATGGATCCGTCTCCATCTTTATCGAAGAGACTGAAGGCTTCACGAAACTCTACAATACAAGGGTTTACATTTATTTTTATTTGTATTTATGTGTTAAACGATATAAAATCTAACAGTATGCTGGAACGCTAAACTAGAAAGCAACATGTATTGGAACTAAAGAGATGCCACAATAAATAGAAAAACGTCAAGACATTCCCATGAATAGCTTGGGTTAGACAAGACGTCAACTATTGGTCATCCATTTTTTTACTTTAATTTCAAATGGTTTACAATGTAGGTGAAGGATGAACTACAGAGATTACCTCCAAGAGAGAAAAAAATATAAATTAAATATATTGGTTTTATCAAAATCATTAATATAAAAAAATCCCACAAAAGTTATTACCTGTACAATTTCTCCATCATATACATATGTATTATCTACGAAAGCGATTACTCATGCAAAAATTCCTTTATATATGAAAATGATTATCTATATAGAGATTTCTATCACGGAGTTTGTCAATGAAAAGTATTTACTTTAAGGAATTTTCTATACAAATTACCCAAGAAAGAGATTATCTGAAGATCACATTCTGAGTAAACGCAGTTTCATATTAAAGCTTAATTAAGATTGAAATGATTAATCGGTTTCCAAATTATTAAAATTCAACTTGAGCTTTGAAGCTTTAATTTATTTCCTCTTTAAATTTTCAATATTGAAAAATATTCAAAAAGTTAAATAAAGATTTTATCTACTTGTTGGTCTTTAAAGAGCTTGAGAAAAATATTTACCGTCGATTTCGTCGTCTGTTAAGCCTGTCTCGCTAAGGCTCTGTCAACATAAAAACGAATAGAATATACCTATAAATCAATGACCGCATGCTGTGTACATGGGAAACGTTCTCACCTGGATTTACAGGTACCTTAACCCAGAATCAATCAGTGACAGTAGGGGAACAAAGGCAAACCAGGTAGGATGTAGGATGGCTCTGTTGTTCCCTTTATATCACGTTATATATACAAAAGGCCCATTAGTGTTCTGATTATTGTAACTAATGTTACTGTATGTTTTTTTGTATAGAATCATTATTATGACTTCCCACCTTGGCGGTTTATCGAATACGACACAATATATCACCAGGCCATAACTATTAGACCAAGCAACATATAAAATACAAACCCAGTCCACATGAAAAATTTCATATATATATCAGACCACGTTAAAATGTTAACAAATATACGTCAAAGTTAAGTTGTTCATTAATATCAGAACAAATAAACTGGTTGTTCAGAGGTATCAAAAAAATTAAATATCACACAAATAATTGCACAAAAAAAAGTAAAATGTCAGATGCACAAAATTGTTTGTTCTGAATTGTACAAATATATGCACAATGTACATATAAACAATTGAGCCTTTTGAATTAAATCAATATGTATTTTCGATTGAGAAAGAATGGTACTTATTCTTATGATATATAATCACGTAAGATAACGGATGGTACCTTCGTTACGAACAATTAAGAATACTGACTTACATTATCAGAATGAATTCCTTTCTCCAATGGCTTGTAAACTAAAGACACTGTGCGATATGGACTATGTTTTATAATCCGTGGATCAAATATGTGTAAACACATACAAACATGGATAAACAAGACATTTGCACTTTTCTAATCAATTACCCCGTCCCCTCCTACACACACACATAACTTCTCAGGTATATTATATCATACAAAGTTTCGTGAAGAAGGCAGCATTCATAAATAATATTAGAATGATTTTGACTTCGTACATGAATGTACCTACAGTAATGTAGTAAATAATGCTGACCATATATTTGTTTTGATGAGATATTTAACTAATGTATTTAATGATATAATATACAAATAGATATTTGATTAAAAATATATAACATACAAGTGCTGTCAGTATTTAGACTTCCATTTTAAATACATTTTCTCCCATAAAATCTATATAGATATATTATGTATATATACACATATTTTCTACATGCTATACACAACGGAAATAGATTATTATTTATGATATGTTTGTACATTATGTCATATTAAATAAACAAGTACATGTAGTATCGGTTAGATTGTTGGGCTACGAATGTACTCGCTCCACCATTTCTTATAGACATGTTATGTATGTATATAATATGTTTTACCTGTTATACAAAGCTACCTGGATACATGTTGATGATATGAATTCGTATATCATGTGACAGAATATTTACAAGAGCTGATGGTTAGAGTATTGTTATATAGATCTGCTCTACCATTGTAAAACTGGTACTGAGCTTATCAATAACACAAATAAATATCTTACTGAATATTACATGTTTATAACCATCTAAAACCTAATGAATATGCAAAGAATATAGAAAACGGAAAATATGAATGTTTAAAATACTGCTTACCATTGTCGGCTATACCGGTGGGGTGTTTATCTAACGGTCGTCCTCTGTCAGATCACAGGAAAATCCTAAACTGTTCTCCAACCGAACGATGTGTTGTGTTAGCTGATTAAAGCCAAACACGTATCGCTTGAACGTTACCGCTTTCTCATTTACTTACAGGATTATACATATCAAAAATTACCTTGTTCCCTTTCAGGCACATTTAAACACCCTACTCGAAAACTCACTTACGACCCGAATGTATAGTACGCGCATAGGCATAGTATGGATGATTCCTGACTATACATAAGTTATTTTCATCTAAATCGAATCATGTAGGATATTAACATGACAATGGTATGGGAACGATAGTTTTAAGTATTACATATTTAGTATAGTAAAATTTGATGTTGACATTATACACAGGATTTCCGAGCGGGTTGGTTGCTTGCTAAACTCATTACAACTATAAAGGTAAGGCACGTTTTAAATCCCCGATAATAAAACTGTTCCACCCTGGTAAAGAAATCGATCCCTGTGTAAGACACGGAGCGGGTTTTGAATTTTCTTTCTATAAACGTATCATGTGATAAATAATGATTCTGACAACATGAACGGCCATTTAAACGACGTCGCTGTAACGCCGTTCGCCACTATCAAATAAAATTTGTACCAGTTGATATATGAAAGACATTTTTTTTACATTTGTAATTGCACAGTAGCACGACATACTTAATTTCGCTAAACATAATCAGCTTAATGTATTCCAATTTTCAGACTGAATATTTAAGGCAAAATTCTGAAAACTTGCCTGTCAAACTTACTGTTTAAGTCTGTTGATGCGTATTAGATAATTCCTATTTTACGCTTGTTTGTTCTTAATTTATTTTTACCAATCAGGAAAACTTAAGATCAAATGCAATCTTAATGATTTTTTAAGCTAATTGAATGTAAAATAATGTGATATTACACCTGTGTTTATCTGTTAAAAGCATTGTCAGCTTCACAGTACACTAAATAAAAATTTGGATTTGTGATATTATCATAATTGTCCAATCTGAAATCGAAATATGAATATTGTTCGATTCAAAATGGCCACCCCCAAGTCATATTCATAAGTGCACTTTTTCCCCACAGTAGTTCCCCTAAAAATCAATTTTATTTTTCCCACAAACATTTCATTAAATTACAAAAGCGTGTCACAACCAAACAATATGCACTTAGCGACATCATTAGTCTCAACATGTGCAGGTTGAGGTAGTATCGATCTGGAAATATTGTATTTGAACTGTTGATATTAGAATACCTTTGAAGTACTGTTAGGTGGTCAGTGTTAATGTTTTGTACTAAAATTCAAATCAGGTTAGTGCTGAGCCAGTTAACACCGTCGTTTTTGGAACACAATGATTTAAACCTATAAACTTAATGAGAATGCACATTATATGGTTGAACTCATGCTGCTATTGAATGGTTCGGTACAGATAGTTTAAGACCGACATTATTTAAGACTAAGACTGTGAGGAATGATTATCTTGACCTGATCACTTTGATTTTGGAATTTTTATAGGGTCAGTAAAATGAAAATGTACACCCAATATATGTTCAATTTTTATAACATCCATCAATTTTCAGTGTTATCCAACGTTGCTTTGGTGACGTCATAGTATTATTGGCATAACCAATCTAGCAGTGAAATTTTTAGTTGTCATATATATTTGGCTGGGGTATATGATAATTGATAACCATACTTACGCATTGTTCCTTGTAAATCTTCAACTTGAAACTATTTCAAATGTGTCTCCTTTAAATGTACTAAAATCAATTATTAAAAAAATATTACTTTAAAAATGTACTCTTTTTAATCACAGTAACGCATTAAGGCCTGTTAACACCTTACACATTATACTTGTGCTGTTTGTTTGAGTTATCTCCCTTGAAATATCAAATAACGTTTTCTCATTTCTCGGGCCTACCTTAGGACTATCAATGCATGAAGTACTTTAATATACATATACAGTATATTCTGTATACTTTACAGAATCTTAAATACAACTAGTAAATATTACCATTTCCCAGTAATTGTAGTATGAATGGATACGAAAGAAGGTGAGTGGCACGCTAAGCTACAAGGGGCCTGTAACCAAAAGCCCTCTTAGTGGCTAGGCTCAACTTCAGATGATCTTAACTGTTAACTGTATAATTGAAAACATTTTTAATGTTGCTTTTAGGAAGTAACGGTTCATCAACTACGAGTAGCGGAACCACTCCTTCCTACCACTCTCTTAGTGACGAAATAAGAGATGGTGTAAACAAACGCTTTCTTATTTATAAATGATGATCTCATGTGGGGTTTTCGCACTTTAAGGTGTAGCCGGTACAATTCTTACGTTCCATATTTCATTCCTTTACTAAAGGTGGTCCTACCCTCCCTTTCCACGATCTTAATAGCTGAGGGAACAACAAACAATGGCTACCTGGCTCCTCCATCTGCCTGGGAACAACTAGTAAGAGACAGGAACAACCCTTTGGATTACTGTAGTAACAGTGCAATACTTGCAAGATATCGCCTTGAAAGGCAGACTATTACGAACTTGTATGACCTACTACAAATGTAACAGAAATCGGTCCGTTCCCTTTTCATTGCAGGTCATGATTGGTTTCAGGTATTATGCGTGCGGTAACATATATCACCTGTTTCTACGTGTGTTTACGATCACATTAGGCATGAGTTTCTTTACCTATATATTGCGTACCTCTGAAGATCCCAAAAAGACTAAATTTTCATATTGAGCAGTTAATATTTATATTGCTTGACCGTCTGTATCACTTTGCTTATATTATACATACAGTAGTTATAGTAATTAATTCATTTTGCAGCGTATATAATGCATTGTGAGAGAATCAATATTTATTTAAATGGAAGCAAGTCCTTTATATTTTCGTTCGGTACGTAGAATTTCATAATTTCTGCAATATAATAAACATGAACGACATTTACTTTGCAACAGCCGCTCATATAGTTAGAAAAAACAAGAGAATATCGAAGTGAACAGAAACCCGTATATCGAATTCAAACTTGACGGAACTAGGTCGACATTTCAGCTAAAGAAACATCAACACGTGGCACACGAAGGAACACAACACCTGATGTTCTTGTGCCGGTTAGTGAAAATGAAACAACAGTGTATATTTACGAGCAAAATAAGAAATAATTCTCCATATTTCCTGTGGAAATAAAACATTTTCCAATGAAATCATGATTGCGACGGTAAGGCTTTTCCACAGTGGTCGTAAACCTGAATCGCTCGAAACCCTGTGTTGTTTATCCTTCGGCCGTCAATTTTTATCACGGTAGTGGTAAATGGAAATAAATGCAAATATTTCCTCCATTCCTAAGTTATTAATATTCGAAAAATCCAACTTTAATCCTTAAAGAAATTAAAAAAAAAAGATCAAAACATTATTATAAGAAGCGTGACGTAGGTAAGTGTAGTATTGTTTATTTATGTCAATTTGCCAGCGAACACACGTATTAAAGTATTTGATTTTCCTTCTCACAAAGCCTTAGCACAAACAGGTATAATACACTTCGAGCTATTAAAGGGAGCTTGATATAATGTAATATTGTGCACATCGCTAACAACATTATCAACAAAAAGTCAAAACAGACCATACATTCGAAGTAAAGGGAGGGCCAGAATCAGTAACCAAGGTGGATTTGTAATTAACATACGGCGTATCACCTTTTATCGTTCCATTTTGAATATGATGACAATCGCCAGGTCAAATAAGCTTAAGATGTCTCTCTAAATATTTCAAACATTACTTTAAAAACATAAAAACAAGCGAAATTCGTTTCGTTTAGCATCCTTGCCCCACTGAACTGTTTTCCCCTCTAGACAGTTAACTGCCGTTAAGATATATATGTAGCACAGTTTGGCTAGGTGGCTTTCGTTGACAAGGTAGCTCAATCGGTTAGAGCTAAATTATAATATTTTGAAATTCATTGATCGAATCCCAGTCTAGCCCCGCTGATTTTTTTTTTAAGAACACTGTTGTATAGTATATTTTGCTTATTTCACTATCTTCATTTCAGAAATTATTCGTCGAAGCTTTAGTCGTTCAAAAAAAAAAAGTTTACAACACTCAGTTACAGTTTCCGGCAGTAGTACAAATAATGCAAAGCAAATACATGTATCAATAATTCAATAATTTATAGATTATATCAATATATTTCTCGTTGAGTAAACTGTGAGTGAAATTGTTCAAAGGGTCAATTTGAACATTTAAAAGTAACCGAAATATATAAAATCTTTGGAGTATCATTACACATTAAAAGCTGCTTCAGGCAAAAAGAAGAAAACTAGTTCTTACACACAACTCTTTTTATATAGGAGGTGCTTGGGGGAATACCGACTTTGATTTGATTCCCACTTAATCCGATCACAGTCAAGCATGCGCTCATGTCCCTTTAACCAAATAACTGCAATATATTAAAAGGGTAAGCGTTCCTGAAGAAAAATCATCGCAGAGAGAACTTAGTAGTTTTGACTTAACAACCGAACGGGCTTTGAATATTTTACAATCTTCATGACTTAAAAGAACGAAATCCGTGCCCACATAATTAGAAAACACACCTTACATAATATAAAAAAAAGAAAACACACAGTTATATTTGATTTGAATACCAAACAAGTGTCCAGTTAAATATCTAGCGACTCATCACTGTAGGATTTTTATTGTAAGCCCTTGGTCGTTATAGTTTATGGCACTGTCTACTTGTAATCATAGTCAGGACACAAATGTTATTGGTATGTAAGGTATTCTAAAAAGATGTCCAGAATCACCCGGTCATCATGCGAACAAATTCTGAAAAACAAGAACAAAAATAGCATTTTGACTAACAACCGACATTTTAAACTTATAACATGTTTAGTTAAGTGTTTTTTCTAATACGTCGATACTTGAATGCAATTTTTTTCCCCCTGAAGCGTTGCTATTATGCAGGGTAATTGAAACATTGCATATAATTGTATGACAAAGTATGTAGCCTATGTAATGTGAAATATTACAACGTCATATATAATTGAAGCATTTCATTTTTAAAGAAAGCAAAATTTGGCTGCTTTCCTCGCACACTAATATGACTGAATGCATTTATTTACAAAGAAGACAATTTAACTCGAAAAAAATCCTTCTTTAGGCTTCCAGTTATGCTTGTTTTGATTAATATAAACACGTGGATAAGGAAAAGGACAGAGTCAGTTCTGAGCCCTAGTTGTGGGATTATTAAGAAATTTTGGAACAGAACAGAGGGTTATACAGATTGGTCGATACATGTAATGATAAAGCGTATTGTTATGCTGGGTGAAGCTCGTGTTATTAAAACAATTAGAACACATACCTGGTATAATTGTAATGAATTATATATATTCTATGTTTACGATTCTTGCTTCAAATATTATATCATGTTTGAATTTTGTTGCTGATAATGCTAGGAATTATGATATTATCTTTGGTGTGTTAGTTTTTTGAAATGTTCATTTTTGTTCAATTAGCTTTGGCGTTAAATGATTACACTTTCATGTAGAACTGTTTCTATGATAACGTCAGCTTCTATTATCTTTTTCATATTGTAATAATTTAACAAGTTCGCGTGTGTCGATTCATTAACACTGACGAAAAACCTAAACCTTGTCAATGATTCAATTGTATTTTCCACCGTGCATTACATGGACACTTCATAGAATTTGCATTTATAAAACCTACCATCATAATTTATCTGTCCGTCCCCGTCCAAATCTGCTTCAATTATCATCTCGTCGACGTCCTCGTCTGTAAGCTTTTCACCCAGATTAGTCATGACCAGTCTTAATTCAGCAGCACTGATAAATCCATTTCCATCCTTGTCAAACACTTGAAAAGATTCGCGTAATTCAGCTTCCGGATCTTTGCCCTGTAGGTAGCTAGTCATCAACCCTATGAATTCCTCGAAGTCCACTGAACCATTACCTGGAGGTCAATAAATATAAATCAGAATTAACAACACGAGAGTACCGAAAAGTGAGCAAAACAAGAATTTGAATAAACAATCGATAACACTAGATCAAAATATGAGCAAAGGATGAAAATGATGACTTTTGAAAAAAAACCAAGCCATGTTGTTCTAGAAGGGTATACGTAATCGTGTTCTGTTTCATCGACGACTCCATCTGTGAACATCGAGGTCATATCAAAGTAAAGTCATGTCCTCTCATCGACTAGTGACAACGAAACCAAATGGAGCACTAATGAACCTAATCAGCACATCGACTTTCATTTCACACAAAGATATAGAATATTTCCCTATGTGATCATGATGGCGACCATCCTGTTCTGCCAACGACATATTCATGCAAATTTTGATTCGAGGAAAAACAACCGCCACATGTTGGTTTGTTTAATTCTGATACAAATTAATACCTTTGATATGTAATATGACGGTATACACATTGTTTACAAGCATATCTTAGGGATGGATAACCAAGAACATGTTCATCCATCGTTGATTTAATTCGATCTCAGATAGCATGTCAAGCTAAAAAATATTAAGTTGCTACGAAATAGCGGATACAACGAAAAGAAAATGTCCATTGCGACGAAATAAATAAACATTGACACCGGAAATTGCTGTATTCTAAATTCTAACAAATTCCAAAGATAATAAAAAACAAGTGCATGTGCATTGTATATACCAGAAAAGACCTACTTATCTAAAAGGTAAAATGTTGTCTATCGTAAGATATCGTACCGTCTTTGTCAACCTCACGTATCATCTCCTCCACCGCAGCATCCGTAGGGTTCTGACCCATCGTCCGCATGACGGTGGCCAGCTCCTCAGTGGTCACCGTTCCGTCGCCGTCCTTGTCAAACAATTCAAAAGCTTCCCTACATTCTGAAACATATCAAATGGTAGGGGATATGTTAATGATATCATCATTACATTATTTGCATTGAATGATGGATAAATAATAAAACATGTAAGCAGTCAACTCTAGATCAGGTACCACCTGTTTACATAGGTGAACATCGCTAAGACATTGGTGCCAGTGTCAAAAATTATACCTATGATTTGAACTAATATTACATGCATTGCAATAACGTGCTTTTGTTTCTCGCAATCCATCTACAAAAGCTGTATTATCGAGGTTCTACTATACATACGCAACTAAAATATGTAATACTGTTTGGTTGAACGATACGCGGGACAATTGCGACTTTCCGATCGTGACCTTGCACTTTTTTTATAGTAACATTCCTGCTTCCCCAACCTACAGTGTCAACATGACGTTTTTGGTTTGGTATTCAAGAGCTTGCTCCGAATATCCTGACTTCAGGGATAGAATTTGACTGCTAACGGACAAACTTACAACACAGGGTTTCCAAAGATGCAGGTTGTTAAAAAATATGAACAAATGTTTGCCTCCATTATATTCTCGCAGGGATATCAGTTTGATATGAAGAACGATGTATTGCATTATACTGACACTTTTTGTCACCACCCGTGATAAGAAGATATAACATTACTTTGATTTAATTTAGATTTACATAGCGGATGTCGTCGATTAAGTCTTTGACGCTTACCCTTCCGGAACACATGTTCTAGTTATTTATGTACTTTCATTGTATCAAGGGTTTCCGTGTAAATATTCCCTTTAGTTTTATCGATTTGGAGTTTGAATTATGGTTTTATTGACAATGTGGAATTATCAGTATGCCAAATGTCATAGTCCGCAACAGTCGCGTCATCAGAACAGTTTAAACGTTGCATAATTTAGAGTTAATCAAAATATTAAGATTACAGCGTAGGCTTATTTTCATTAAGATATCACTTTGAAATACAATGGAATTTGCAATTCGCTTATGCAAGAATCAAAGAAACATCAAAACAAAAATGGAAATCGTCATGCTTTCGCAATAATATGGCGACAATATCAACAACTACGGAAAATGTATTTTCCGCACCAGATATGGTTCCTGCCTTGTTGTCTTTTAGTAACTACTCTCAAACTACATCAACATTTAACTTATATAAATAAATAAGTACTGATACCTTGCAACTGTTGCTCTGTCAGTTCCGCGGACGGCGCAGATGATTGTTCCTCTTCGGCGTCACTCTGTTTTTGCAAAGAAAATAAACATATTCACACCAAAATTCGAGATTTTTTTTACATTCCATTTAAACAACAGAATTAAAAACAAAATAGAAATTTAAAAAAACATCAACTGACATGCCACTTATGAACATTATTTGCAATTGAAAATACATGTGCATACCATTGCGAAATCAAATAATATTAAAAGTCCATTCGATGTCCCCTGGAAAATCAAAGAAAAGATGTCGTTCGCCGACAATCTACGACAGACGCAGTAAAGGATCGGCTATTCTTTAATCACTAAAACCGGCGATATTTCTTGTTATTTGATCAGTTCCCAAATACTTTAAATGGTATATACGTACTCCGTGAGTAGACGTTTCCATCTATTGTGATAAGAATGCGTCTATGTACATGCTAATCTTCGCGACCTCTCAGGTTTGTTAAAACTTGTTCGAAGAGTACAACCTTATTATGTATTCGATACTTCTCGGGTATCACCGTTGTGTAGCTTGTGAGTTAAATATGTTTGGCATTAAGCAGCAAAGAACGTTCCTCGTAACAGTATGTGGACAGGAATATTATAATAAATTTAAATGGTCGTTTCATTTTAATTTGTAATGTAATACACATCAGTTAGGAATAAGGGCCTTGCCAATCAACGAAGCTTTTCCACCTAAAAAAATAAACCGGATTTTTATTTATCAAACATCATTCTGTTTAACCGCAATGATACGACCTAGTAAAAATAAACGATTACTACAGTACATCGTTTTTATTTTAACTATATTATTTGTAAGTAGCCGTGGATTATTTATATGTTGCAGTGGATTATTTGTATGTAACCGTAGATTATTTGTATATAGCTGTGGATTATTTGTATAAAGCCGTGGATTATTTTTATGTAGCCGTTGATTATTTGTATATACAATGTAGCCGTGCCGAGGATTATTTGTATGTAGCAGTGAATTATTTGTATGTAGACGTGGATTATTTGTAAGTAGCCGTGAATTATTTATATATACAATGTAGCCGTGGCTTATTTATATGTTGCCGTGGATTATTTATAAGTAGCCGTGGATTATTTGTATGTAGACGAGGCTTATTTGTTTGTAGCCGTGGCTTATTTATATGTCGCCGTGGATTATTTATAAGTAGCCGTGGATTATTTGTATGTAGCCGTGGATTATTTGTATGTATACGTGGCTTATTTTATGTAGCCGTTGGTTATTTGTACAGTTTGTATGTAGCCGTGGATTATTTGTATGTAGCCGTGGATTATTTGTATGTAGACGTGGATTATTTGTATATAGCCGTGGATTATTTGTATGTAGACGTGGATTATTTGTAAATAGCCGTGGATTATTTGTGTATACAATGCATCCGTGGATNGGGGGGGGGGGGGGGGGGGGGGGGGGGGGGGGGGGGGGGGGGGGGGAAACATGTTTTTTAGTTACCGAACTAAAACTTTTTTTTCAATTACTACACATGTCTGGAAGTTTCAATTTCTTGACCGACTGTTTGAATTTTATTGTTTCCAGTGATTAACTTACAGAGAGGTTGCTTATTTGAAATATCACATGGCATATGCAAAATAAAAGCTAGATAATTATATTCACAATCCTGTTTTCATATATAGTACTCCAATGAGGTTCACTTTAAAAAAGCAGTATGTTAGTGTTCTGTTGTATTTGTTCCCCAGTATTCATACCCCCATTAACAGCCTGTAATACTATTAAGTGGATGTGAGATATAATTAACGTACTTAAGGTATTTAAAAATATAATAAAAATGTTTGTGTAATGATTTTTAAACTGAATTTATAAAGGATTTGACAAATCATCACCTTTGTCGACTCGGTGGTATGTATTCCAGGTATAAGAAAACCATATATCACATATACACATATACCATATACAAACAGAATACAATACACCTTTAACACACACGCAGGCATAAACACATAGGGAGATATTAGCCAGGTGGCATAGGACTAGTAGTTAGAACCTTAAAAGGCAGCTCCTGCTAATTCCTCAAAATTGTATTGATTAATGTATATGCTAATTGTGTTGATTGTTTAAAGTGTATATCGATTAATGTTAAGCGCTTAAGAGTGGCTTTTTCTAGCTACATCAGTAGTGGATATAGCAATTTAAGAAACGTATACCTGAAATATTTTGATAGAGTAAAGTGTTTTACATATAAAGTGAAAGATGACGTAATGGCAGACACTGATTAACGTCTCTAGTTCGAATCCACCGCTGATTTTGATAACAGGAAATCAAATTACCTAGAAACATAATTAGATTAAGACAACTGTGACACACGGCAACGGATTAAGATTAGAACAACTGAGACACTTAACAGCAGATTTAAATTAAGAAAATTGAGACACATGACAACACATTTATATTAAGACAAATGAGACACTTAACAACATATTAAGATAAAGACAATTCAGTTACTAGACAACTTAGATACTTGACAACAGACTTAGATTAAGACAACTGAGACACTTTACTACGTCTGTTAATTATGACAATTCGCTTATTTCATACAGTTATGAGATAAGAATGAAGTAATAAAATATTAAGTATTAAATGCACTCACATCTTCACACTTGTCTTCATCCAACATGACAGGAAATCAAGTTCAAGTTCTTTATTTGCTGAAGTTTTACAACTTATGGCAATTACATATAAGACAAAGACACTCACAAGGACACACTCACACTGACTCGGAAACATCATCCTCATCATCGAGAACACTCACACTAACTCGCGCACATCATCCTCTTCTTATTCATCAATCATCATCGTCATCATATCAGCAACAGCAGCAGCAATCATTCGTCATTCATCATACTCACATTCATACACACGCCAGAACCCTTTTCACCCTCATTCACCCATACAAGAATTAGTATTCAATAAACTGATGTAAAACATGTATCTTATCATGACCTGTTCTACTGATGACCTCTTAATAAATCTGCTCTACGTTTTAACGCTAGTGATTAATACTTTCCTAAATTATTAAGTTCTTTTGTGTTTTCGTTTTTGAGTAATTGAACAAATTTATACATACTAGGCCTTTTGAAATAGTATTTCTTAATGTATTTAGACCGGAGGTCTGAATAGCGATTACATTCAATTATAAAATGAAATTCATCTTCTATATCATTTTCATTACATGAAATACATTTTCTTTCTTCTCTAGGTGTATCTCTGTAACGGCCACGTTCAATAGACAGGTCATGCGCGCATAAACGCATCTTAGAAATAAAGGTGATACAAACGACTTACCATTGTGCTGATGACCCGCTGCGTCCGACGGTATATCAAGGTATGTATAGCGCAAGGAAACACGATAGAAAAATATTGCAAAACTGTCAGGAACTGTGTGTTTACCTGTTGTTTAACTACACAAACACTGAGTTCGACTGCTCACAAACGTTGAATCAGACAAATAGAGTTTTAATGGATCTGGTTATTATGTTCCGTTCGTCAAGTGCGGTTTATTTACAGTATTCGAGTAGCATTACATAAAAAAAGATTTATAGAACTCCAAATTGTTTATGAAGGCCCATGCCAAAATTGCCGTATAGAACTTAAGGCAAAAACCACCATCCAAATTGTGGTATTCTATTTAATATAACTATATCAATGGACATTTCAAAAACTCCAAACCAATCGGTTCTCCACGTCACTCAGACGGACATGTCTTGACATAGGTATATACAAACATTTATATACCGGTTTTGAGTAACTGGGGTTCTTGTCACGATACGTGAACACAACCCTAACATAATGGCGTCTCAGGTCGCTAATACATCCCCACATTTAAACCGTTATTACAGTGTACCTACCCCTTACCCTAACAGAATTGATACACATCTACGTCACAAAACAACAATAGAAATGTAAAATGTGTATGCATGTCGTGTCTCATCTAGATTCATAACAAGTTTAAATGAAAAACGGAACGTTTTATATATATTTTTATTTCTATACGCTTTTGCCCTCGGATTCTACTCCGTTTTAGCTAACATGTTTTCCTAACCTGCCATCTATCTCAATATATACACACATCTTACAGAAAATAGTCACGTATTACTTTATGTTGAGGTATTTTCTTATTTTATGTGACACACACACTTAATTAAAACGTTTTGGCAGCTTTTCCTTTCCCTTTTCAAAACGTTACAATCTTAATGAAGAATTTAACGTTAAAATCAGGCCATTTAAATTTATTTACGCTGCGGGTCCTGGCCATAAAGATAGATCTTTTTACTTTATGTTCCATCTTAATTAAAACAGTCTTAACGAAGCAAGTGACACTATAATTATACGAGTCAATTTATGAAAATTGTCAATGCGCTCTAGGCCAGGGTAAGCTAGATATTTGCAGCTTTACATGTTTGCCCTGAAACATTTTCTGAACGTTTCGTTTGCAACTAGATTCATGATATCTATCTATATATATATATATATAAAGAAAACATTGAGAAGTCCTTGTGTTGGAATTAAATATAAAAAATAGAACAAAAGACCGAGATAGCGTCTCTAGGCCTTTCTCGGGTTGATTCCCCGTTCATCAGAAGACTGTTTATTTTGAAGACAGGTATTGTGAGGTCATAGTTGTTTACACAAGAAAGTATGACGTCATCAATAATGCAAAGTCATTATGACGTCACAGAAGGCATACACATAAATCCATGACGTCAACAACAATACAAGCTAAATTATTTTGAAGACAGGCATTGTGAGGTCAAAGTTGTTTACACAATGCCTGTCTTCAAAATAAACAGTCTCCTGATGAACGGGGAATCAACCCGAGAAAGGCCTAGAGACGCTATCTCTGTCTTTTGTTCTATTTTTTTTTATATATATATATACATGTACATGACGGATTTATCTCTTAATGATTTATTATTGTCAATACGCCTCTGGCACCAGTTAGGTAGGCGCTCTTAGTTTATTTGAACACTCGTAGACATCTATATTTATAAATGAAATAAAAAGTAATAATTTATACCTAAACCTACTTTATATGTTCATCCCATTATCATGGGTGGTAGGATGGCGCAGTGGATAGCGCACTCGCCTTTCACCAAGGCGGTCGGTGTTTGATTCCCCGATCCGGCTTTAAAAGATAAGGAGTCACATGCCAGACCACGTTGGTTTTACTGGGTACTCCATTTTCTTCCTCCATTGAGACCCTCTACGCAATTTCACCGGGGCCAACAAGATGATAACTATACATGTAAGTTTGAAAACTTACTTTCATAATTGTTGAAAATAAAAAAAGTTTAATTATATATTGCTTTATCCAGTTTCACAAACATATCTTTCCTCTCAGAATTAACACTGTGACTAGAGGTATTAAAAAACTTAATTAAAACTGTCAGCGAAACCAGGACAGACTATTTTTCTCTAGGGTTTTGTGTGTAATGTATTGACACCTTTCCACTTAAAATAAAATAATTGGTTTTTAATCCTTATCAAAAAACCTTTAAACTTGGTATGCGTATCAAGGCAACAATATACACCCTTCGTCTTTGATAAAAATCTAATGAGGTGAACGTATCTTCCGACTTGAAGGTTAATGTGTATTTTAAATAATTATCCTTTCTTCAAATGTTGAAATTGATCGTCCTGTAGAAGTTTTTATGTCTTTGATGTTCATTACTTAAAGGACAAAATCAAATGCCATTTCGATACACAATAACAAATATGACTTTAATTTTCTTTTTATTTTGTGCCACAAATAATTGAATACATTCGGTTTAAAAAAGAAAAGAAAAGAAGGGTCAACATACGGGAACTTAATATAGCTCAGGGTTGACGTCCGGGAACAAAATATACAGTAAACGCTGTCTAATCGGAACATTCCGACATCCTGTTTTATCTACTGTAACATGATGTTGTAATTACATTTCTTACGAAAAGTAAGAAATAAGATGTTGGTATTCCGACATATTATCTACGAATAAAATCATGACTAGCTTATTGGGACATGAACATTCTGCGTGGTTTGCTGACTCGAACAAAACAGTTTATTTGAGAGCTTTTGTGATGACAGACGTATCGCAAAAACAATCTTAAACAAAGAAACTAACACCCGTCGACGTCACGATGACAGTAATGTAGCACTTGAGTAACATGTTGGATCATTCAAAGAGTTATATTATTTGGGTTTCACCTGGGTGGTCCTGACTCACATGATTCGGTTTGTATTAATTTGTAAAGTTTTTAGGTTTGCAAAAAATCGCTAATTTGGTTCATTTCAATTATACTTAACAAATATACGCTAGAAAAAGCTAGCAGATGGTTTTCATCTTTTAGCCTTTTGTCGTTAATTACTGTGAATAAGTAATGAACTTGAATGTTTTAATAAAATACAAACGTATCCATCTATGTTTAATTGTAAGAATATGAAAACAGAACTATAAACCTTCATTTTTGCGCCACAATATTTTAATTCTCTCGAAGAAATTGTTGTTCTTATTCAAAGTATGATAAATTATCTCAAATAAAATATTAGGCATATTCATTAGAATGTTAATGAAACAATGTTTAAATCGTTCGACAATGTTACAGGCACTGTTTTCACCAAGTCACATCAGAGAGACATCAGACCCAACGAACATTTCGTACCACTGCCAAACACTGTACATTTGTAGCTATGGATTAGACACTTTCGTTCCGTCTGACAAATGCTTTGATGATCATTTCGGTAAAGAAAGTCGTACCTTACAGGAATTTAATGAAATTATAACAAAGATGAAATAAATGAAAATAAAGTCAGCTTCAGTGTCCTTAGTGTTAAATCAGAAGGGCTAGACTCGGGCCTGTATTCACGAAAACGTTGTCATGCTTTAGCTCAAAGTTTGCGCCCAAGCACGATTTCTTGTTCCAGTAATAAATTAGTGACAAAAATACCCTTTTTTTTGTCAAAGATTTGGAAGAACGCTGGAGAAACATTAAGGGAAATACATTTTGCAATATTTACAGTTGATGTATTTAACATGTCGCAGGAATAAGGGTACCTTCAAGAAAGTCGGTTTGAGCACAGAATCAATGCTTGAGCATGACCATGGCTTTCATCAATACGGAACAAGATAACAACCGTAGACCTCAGACTTTTATATTGTCGCTTAGCCTGGTCAACCGACGTGACATGACCCAATTGTGCTATAGTTATATCCACAACGAAATTAAGGGTAGATTACTACATATGTATACGAAATACCACAGTTGAATTCTCTACTGCTTTGCCTGCAGTTAGACATGATTCCTTAATTAAAAGATATTCATCGTTATGATATCAAAATGAATATTTATGTTGCGACCAGGTATATGATAAATATTTCTAAGAAGTTACAATGCCCTCTAATATGCAGTCATATTGTTATTTCTTTAGTATTATGGTGATAATCTTGTGAGGAAACAATTTTGTACACGTAAAACAAAGTTGACATGATACAAATTCTGATCGTTGTTCTTCATTCAGGAACAGTGCTGAGCTCCTTTGGAATAGGTTCCGGTGGAACAGGCGAAGGTACTTTTTCAGCTGCTAACATTTCGACGAATTCTAAAAAGCAAATTTACATAAACATCTGAGTGAAAGGAGGACTATTCAAATACACGTTTTACGGAAGATTTAACATCATGCCCTTTGTCTATGATATGTTGTTGCGTATCTTGTTGCGACAATGATATTGTGTAAGTGTGCAAATGAATACACACAGCAGTGTTGGATGGATGTACATTGTATATATTTCATTTACGTAAAAAAGGAAAAAAGTAGACAATTAATTAACAAGGCTTGGGATATTTACAGTTACATGTACAACATGACCCGTATTCAAGAAAACGTTCTCATGCTCCAGCATGGATTTTGTGTTCAGGCCTTATTTCTTAAAACGGACTTAAATCATGTCAAACGATCACTGTCCAATGTAAACATTGACAACATTAATTGGCTTTAAGTCTCTCCATTTTTTTCTCTTTCTCGAAATCATTGACAAAATAAGCTGCTATTACTAATTTATAAACGAAACAAGAAATTAGGCTTGAACACAAAATCTATGCTTGAGCATGAGAATGGTTTCATGAATGCGGGCACAGGTCTTTTGAAACTAGATACCGTAACCTCATAACAATAAAACAACAACACCCATGAACTTGCCGAGTATATTGACCCAGAACTACTCTTGTGTGAAGTGTCAATTTCACACTGAATATTGATTTTCCTTCAATTCTGTTTTAACCAATGTTACATGTTACCGTGTTCTGACTCCAATTATATATAGTTGAAACGTGTTTATCATAATTAACTCTGTACAATCTACTTCCATTATAAGTTTTCGATATGGATATTAAAATTTTCATTTTTTTCTTCATATTGCCAAAAACATATGTTATGTAAGTAAAATATAGACCATATACCATAGCGTAGACACACAGGGACGAAACATAGAACAGCGTCAATAAACAGGGCAACATATGGGAACTAAATATAGCTCAGGGTCAACATACGGTAATAAAATATAGCTCAGGGTCAGCATACGGGAACAAAATATAGCACAGCGTCAACATGCGGGAACAAAATATAGCTCAAGGTCAACATACGGGATCAAAATATAGCTCAGGGTCAGCATACGGGAACAAAATATAGCTCACGGTTAACATACCGGAACTTAATATAGCTCAGGGTCAACATACGGGAACAAAATATAAGTCAGTGTCAACATACGGGAACAAATTATATCTCAGGGTCAACATACGGGAAAAAAAAATAGCTCAGGGTCAACATACGGGAACAAAAAATAACTCAGGGTCAACATACGGAAACAAATTATATCTCAGGGTCAACATACGGGAACAAAATATAGCTCAGGGTCAACATACGGGAACTTAATATAGCTCCGGGGCAACATACGGGAACAAAAAATAGCTCAGGGTCAACATACGGGAACTAAAAATAGCTCAGGGTCACATACGGGAACAAATTATTGCTCAGGGTCACATACGGAAACAAATTATAGCTCAGCGTCAACATACGGAAACAAAATATAGCTCAGGGTCACATATGGGAACAAATTATAGCACAGCGTCAACATACGGGAACAAAATATAGCACAGCGTCAACATACGTGAACAAAATATAGCACAGCGTCAACATACGGGAACAAAATATAGCTCAGGGTCAACATACGGGAACCTAATATAGCTCAGGGTCAACATACGGGAATTTAATATAGCTCAGGGTCAACATACGGGAACTTAATATAGCTCAGGGTCAACATACGGGAACAAAATATAGCTCAGGGTCAACATACCGGAACAAAATATAGCACAGCGTCAACAAAATATAGCACAACGTTGGCACACAAGAACAAACTGTTGCCAATTGATTAACTGTTCATTTCTCATTTCTTCAAGTTAAAATAAATACAATATACATATGTTCATGTATACTAAGACAAACAATCAATTATACGTTACTTATTGGCGATAATGTGTGCTACGGTTAAATACAATTGTGTTTTACCGACGAATTTCGTGCTTGGAAAAGTAGTCCTTTTTAATTTCGTTTACACGCCAATTATGCACCGAACTATTTTGATAAATATGTACATGATGTGCTTTAATTTACGTTGGTAACATATAGAATGGATAAAAAGTCTAATTCGAAGGAGTTCAATTTTAAACCCTGAGACATTTGATTATGACGCAGATTTTCCCCTGCCATTCATCGGTAAATACAAACACTCGATTGGTGCCGGTATAAATAGTTGCCATGAAGAGTCAATACTCGTAGGGAAATTGTACAAAGGCCCCACTTCGCACTTATAACTCTGGAAGGTCAATTAGAGAAATACTTGACACATACCCGTGTAACCATCGAGCTTTCTACCTTTCGCTTTCATCTTAATCCCTCCATACATACAATACGAGTTAATAATTGTGTCCACCATATCCTCTTTACAATCTTCAGCCAACAAACAGTCTTTTGTACAGAACAGTGGTGATACAAAAACGTTTTTGTCTCATATTTCATTTTTATATTTTACATACAAACTTGTTAAAAAATGAGTCGCCGTCAAATGAAAACTTCATCGAGTGTTGTCATAGACAGCAACAAGAGAACCAAGACAACAAACCCGTTACTAGAACACCAAAATCGATAAAATGAAAGAAAAAAAAAGAGTAACATGTATACCAATTAAAAAAAAAGGAAAAATTAAACCATGTGTTCCGGAAGAGTAAGCGTCTTTTGCTTAATCGACCACACCCGTCATGTAAAGCTTAGTCAAATCTAAGTATGAAGTATCATGTCTTCAAAGCGAGAACGAAACATGAAGGCACAGTTATGAGCATAATCATAGTATCTTAAAGCTCTTCACAAACTTGGCAAAAAGAAGGGAATAGGCATATTTTACTTAAAATGAAAAGTGCTAACTTTCTTAAATGAATTGGGGTTGCATACGTATTCGACAATGTTTAATGCAGATGTGCTTAATTGGGTCAATTGTTATATGTAACTTTCACTTCTACAGCTTGTTGTAGGAAAAATGTACAAGAATAATAAATAGGAAAATACGCCAACATTTATCATTTCCATCTTACCGATATAGTTTATCCGGCCATCTCCGTCAGCGTCCGCATCTGTAATCATTTCCTCCACCTCCTCCTCGGTCAGCTTCTCGCCCATGCTTGTCATGGCGTGACGTAACTCGTTGGCTGTAATGAAGCCGTCTCCGTCCAGGTCGAACACTCGGAACGCCTCGCGAAGATCATCCTTGGAACCTCTGTCTTTCATTCTTCGGGACATCATAGAAAGAAACTCCTGGAAATCGATTTCACCGTTTCCTGATTTAATTAAACGAAAGGTGAAAATTAAAATATATGTCTAATTGCCAATATGTAACCTATACATGTACAATTCAAATGGCATTCATTTAACCGTTGAACTACCTCAGTTGGCATTAATTGTCAATGTGAATACCAAACATAAATGAAAATTCAAGTTGGCATTCATATCGATTATAAAAGCCAATTGAAAGTTGTATTCATTTCATTTTCATAGAAAATGTGATCAATTAATAAAAACTCAATATTTTGTTCTCATAAGTGAAGAAATAGTACATAGAGCGAGGGTCAGTAGTGTCATATGATGAGACGTCATGATAAAGATGGCATCAACAGATACACCATGGCATGTATAGCTGTTATGAATGCAATCTGAGGTTTGTGGAGTTTTTATATTGTCAATTGTAGACAGGCAGAACTGATTGCCACGACCAAATCATCGAAGTAACCCCATCACTGTGATGTCATTATTACGTTGTTGATAAGCACTCTCCCTAGAAGTTGGATAACATGTCCAATAAACAAGGATAACGATAGTGACCATACATGTGAGAATAAAATATTTGTTTGATTTTTATTTTGTTTAACAGCTAAGGTCATTTAAGGACGTGCCTCTATGTGTGTTATGTATGCGTGCATGTGTGTATGTGTGCTGTAGATAGGGTATGTTGTTGTATTTGCCTCCTTGTGATAGCGGAGATCTTTATAGTGCTACCTCACTGAAATACCATGCCGAAGCGACCCAGCACAGCATTCCGCCCTGTCAAATTATGCTGACAACGGGTGAACAAGTAGTTATCATTCCCCTTAATGCTGAACGTTAATCAGAAGGTATACTAACTACCATTTTTAAGGACTTTGGTATGTCCAGGCCTGGGAACAGAATTAATTACCCTCCTCAAATAGGCTGATGCTCAACATTAGAGCCAAAAGTGAGGTATTGCCAAGCAAGGAGCTACGAAAAAAAGGTGTCTAGAAATAGAAAGAAATAGAAATATGCCAAATATTGCAATTGGTGCAGCAGATTTATTTTGGTTGCTTTTATGTCCAGAACTAGAGGGTACAAAGGCAAATCTCCAACGCAGGGATTCTCACATAAGTAACCTCTTACGATACATGCAATCGGTAACAGCCGTTGTATTCGTTTCTCGATCCCTGACCTGCAGGGATGTAAATATTTCAAAAGTAAGAAAATGTTTTCATTCGGCATTCATAGTCAATATGAAAGCCAGATGAAAACGACTAACTCAATGAAACACGTTATTGTATTAAATACAGATGTAGACCGGAAGGAATTCAAATCTTACATACATACCGTCTTCATCAACCTCCAGCATCATGTCGTGAAGGTCGTTGTCAGATAGATTTTCACCCAGTGACCGAAGCACTGTTCCAAGTTCCTTCTCAGAGATAACGCCGTCTCCGTTACCGTCAAATATCTTAAAAACGTCACGCATCTCTGGAAAATCAGTTGATATAATTAGATATTCCTCCCCTATTGTGTATTTGCTGAGCAAGTTTAAGTCATCAAAATCGCAAGACACAGCATGCACACTGATGAAAAGGAAAGTAATAAAAGAAAATGACCTTTAAATCGAAAAGTGCCAATCATTCCTAATGAACTCGGGAGTATTTTTTAATAAAAAGAATGTTTGGCATAGCATGTATGATTTTAAAATGGTCTTAAAAATGTTGATAGAAAAGTATAATAAGTGCATGTGAATATCAATCGTTAAAAGATGTGCATCGTTGTCGTTTTGTAAATATTTTGTGGGTTGACTTGAATTCCTGAAGATACATTCTTGATTTAATTGCTTATCACTTTTAAAATTTGGTTAAAGTTTTAATATGCAAACATGAATTAAATTTAACCATACCGGTTTTTGTTCATCCTTTTAAAACTCATCAGTGGTGTGCTAGAGGCGAAAAAGGTGGACATACATATTGGTCTAAACTAATTTAGAAATAGAAGGGGAGATGCGTAAAACCCATTGATTATATTATGAACAGTGCAACTACTCGGAAGGGAGATAATTGTGTTTATCAAGGTAACGGTAAACATTTGTGACTATGGTGTTCCAACATCAAAATTTATTGAAAGTTAAAAATTCAACATACCTTTAATCTGAACCAAAGTCATGTCATACTTAGCCATCATCGATTGCTGTAATTTAAAGTTATCTATATCTTAATATCGTTCATGTACTTTTGAATCAAATGCATAGACAAAATATGGATATCTATATCATATGAATTATGAACGATACGATATTTTTATGGAAAACTTAAACACGCAAGATATTTATGAAAACAATCATATCTTAAATTTTAAAAGCAAGCTGTGAATGAAACAATTTATGTAAACTTCATCATCTTATCTGAATAAAACAGATGTTAAATGAATACCTACCAGCGTCATTTTACTTGAATTGGTGTATTTAAAAGATTCCACCGGTATAAATGTTGTTCGTTGAAAAATGATCCTTGTTCAGAAGATTCTTCTTTTTTCTTCCCGGGTAATGATAATATAAATTGCCGTTTGTGTAGCATGCACGTTGTGAGAAGTATAACACTCTTTGGCGATTAAATTCCAACCAGCTACTTCCAATAAATGTTATATATCCTCATCGCCAAAAATCTTAGTCCCTTCGGGAAAATGGGATGATTATTTTCGTCGATTCTCCGGTTTTCAATATATATCAAAGATTATTTAAAGGAATATTTGACGATGTTAAATTAATTCAAACATAATAGCATCAAATTAAACAATTTTTTGAAAATATATAGTTTTTCTGGCAAAATTTCTAAAAAGAATGCTTCTAACAACAAGAATAGCAGGTCCTACTCGGAGCTGAACACATTGTCAACTATCGATGTGCGATTTTATTGACCATTGATGACACAAATCTCTGAACTATTTATCTTATTCGGTGATACTGACCTTCCACTGACAATGGGACAGGGCCCTTTTAAAAGCCCCGTTAGTTCGTCTGGTGCTTAAGATGTCATTGTTCCGCCACCGCCGATGTCATCATTCGACTTTTAATGGGACAGCTCTATAGACACATATCACTTTATAACGGCTTAATGTATGTTATGTTTAAATCGTCCAAAGGATTGAGGCCTTACGTAAGTCAGTTTTATAGCGTAAACAATATTCTTTATTTCAACCAGCACAGGAGAGAAAAATCTAATATTTTACATGTATGTATAACGACAACAATTTATTGGACAAGACATAAACTAGCAGTACCATTTTCAGTTCTTACTTTTATTTAGAAGCCTTCCTCTATCGCTTGTCAACTCCAAATCTTACACAATACATATGTACAACGCCCATTTTCCGAATTCAATATGTTTAAAGAGGAAATTCGGCCTAATGGATCGGTAAGTGCCGACTGTCACGTATATGGTTATTACTACGAATCTTTTGTATCTGTCCTCTATATACCTAACAGCGTAGGATGACATTCAGTAACGAAGGTAATGTTATTATTACAGGATCAGTACCAAAATGTTTAGTCACATGTAACAGGCTTGGTTGAATGCGATCCTGTTTCTCTGTCTGTCTTTCTCTCACTCTTATTTGTCTCCCTCTGTCTCTCTCCGTTGCTCTTTCTGTCTCTATGAAAATATAGTGCCATATACATCTATATTGTAAAATTACGTAATCGATAATTGATTATGTATGATGTATATTGAAAAAAGGGATTTTTATAAGTTTTCACAAATTATGTCTAGTTCTTTTGTAAGTATTTACAATTAACAATCTTTAAATCAACAGATCCGAAATAGCAATTCAGTTAATGTACATTTAGGTCTCAAAATATAAATGTTTAAAAAATCAAATTTCCTGGTCTTGATAAATAAGGATCGAATTTATAATTCTCATAAAGACCCAGGAGCAGGAATATTTTAAAATACAGAATGTAACATAAACGTATTTTAATCCGCTCGGTTTCAATTCCAGGTATACAGGAAACTTAAAGCTTGTATCAGACCTATAAGTAGTAGTGTATTAAATGTTTCGGACACACTGTAAGCGCATGAGCGCAGTCACCTCCCTTGATTTAGTAATCGGTGGTCCTGTGCTCGAATCCCGGTTCGACTTCGTGGCATTTAATTCACAGAACACTATGATTGATTTTATTAGCTTCTATATAAAGTTACACAAGGTATTTTCAGATATAATTTATCAAAATTGAACTCACACCAGAATTTTTTTTTTAAGTGTAATACGGTTACAGTTTTAAACAGTGGAACAGGAATCCTTGAAGAAAGTGTTTATTGTTTTGTTCAGGGCATTTCTTGATTGAAGCGAATGCCGTCGCAAAGCTACCGTAATTGATGATTTAAACAAATATTGTTTGTGACCTACAGACTTCCTTTTCATCTGTGAGTGTTACTTGCAGCAATATCAGATAGGACAGATGATAGTTGAAATGAAGACATCAGTCCATTTAGTATCACAATCAATTTATTAATATTAATATATCAAATAAAAGTCAAAATCCTGATACAATTAATCAACAAATATAGTCAAAAGCGAAAAGATCTACTACAGTGCAGTGTCAAGGGAGGCAACTCCGTTAGTAATAAACATTATTGATACTATATACCGGTAAATATTGAATTGCAGCTCCTTTGGCACTTTAAAATAATCTTTTCAACTTCCTTTAATGAATCCAAATGTCGACCTTGATTGTTTAATGACATGTACCAACAAATCACAACAATGCGTGCATTTGTTTCAATATGCAATTCGAAGATATTACTGTTACAAGAAAAGCCTTTTATTGAAAAGGGTGAATACGCCAACACTAATATTAGGTAAATACGTAAGTTAGCTAATAACCTTACACCTATATATAGCAAAGTGAATACTTTTCTTTTCCTTCCGTGACAAAATGCCATACCATATTAGGTAAGTGGCTTTTACAACAACGACAAGTCTCGACAAGTCCCCTGGCACTCGAGGCTCCACTTTCTATCCGTTAACTCTTCTTTCCGTTCCCTTCGTACTGACACGTTTCTTTCTGTTATGTCAACATTCCAGAACCATAACATGTACATACACACAATTCTGCTCGAAATTTACTTAGTTGTCATCATCTTCACAAACTCTGAAAGAAAAAAATGTTAGAGAAAACATTATTTTTTATAGATGTATTCATCAAATACTGGCTTTTGCTGGAAAGTAGAAAGTAGTGAGTTCAAAGGTCAGAGTTGCAGATGTTTCTCGGCTAGGTGATTTTGGTGCCGGTGATTTTGAGTTTGAAGCCCGGACAATGCATAAGTAAAAGAAATGTTTTCCTTCGTAAATTGTCTTTGCATGTGTCTATTTAATAATAAACACCATGTATTGTAAACACCCTGGTATGTTGTTACGAAAATACGATATGAACTCTTTGTGTAATACAATGTAGTCACATATATCTTTACTCAGGCTTTTGGGGTCAAATTTGCATATTGTTTAATTCATTTACCTAATTTACCAGTATTGCTAACTAAATATATAAACTTAATTACTCCGTGTTGAATTCGCGCTTTCGCTCAAAGACGAACAGACAATAAAACAGGGACGAACATTTGTTTAACAGCACTTGGTACTTTCATCCCTTAAAAGGGTTTTTACCTTCGTAAATTTTTTCTCAAAGCGTGTTTTTTTTTTTATCACCGTAATTTTTCATCCCAAAGCGGTGTTTTTTACCTTCGTAATTTACGTGTCCATCTCCATCGACATCCGCCTCTCGTATCATCTCATCTACTTCCTCGTCAGTCAGCTTCTCGCCGAGATTTGTCATCACGTGACGTAGTTCTGCAGCACTGATAAGTCCGTTACCGTCTCGGTCAAATACTTTGAAAGCCTCAGACAATTCTTCATGGGAATCCATGCTCGTCATTTTTCTAGCCATCATCGTCAAGAATTCCTGAAAATCAATCTCACCATTACCTGTAAAAAAGAGGACATCAATTTCTTCAAACGAATTAAAGAAAGATAAAATTGGTGGATGTATGAACTAAACAGATTGAGGGGACGGTAAATGATAGTGAAAAAGTCTACGGAAAAAATATGTTCAACGGCGCAGCGTCAACACACAAGGACAAAATCAACTTCATGTATCATATGACGTCACAGTGTTCAGAAGTTTGGGGTATTTCGCACTCTCCTAGACAGATGCATACACGTCGTAACTGAACAGGAAGACATGAAAATCGAAAAGCGACATGCCAAACAGGCCCTGACAACATGTGAATACCCCGAATGGTCGATAAGAAAAGTAGAAGAACATTTTGTTTTTGTAGAAATGTTTGTGCTGATATGACATTGATTGAAATATGAGTCCAAGTGGCAAGCGCACTTGCCTTTCACCAAAGCGGCCGGGGTTCAATTCCCCGATCGGACGTGAAAAGTTATGGTGTCACCTGCCCGACCACGTGGATTTTCCCCGGTTACTCCGGTTTCCTTCCACATTAAGACCCCTTCCCCCGCCCCAGCCCCATCACAACGCACAAGCATCCAGGCCAACAGGAGTAATTTGTATCAGTTAAAATAACTTGTTTCAAAATTGTTGTGTAATATATAATGTTTATATAATATTACGGGGGTTTACGGTTTGCACGCTTAATATTTAAATCATGAATTGACATCGGTCGGGTAGCGAAGTTGAGAGCTCACCCGCCTTTCACTAAGACGGCCGCGGTTCGATTTCCCGATCGCACCTGAAAAGGTCCATGAATAGTATTGCGTGTTGGACCAAGTGGGTTTTCTCAGGGTACTCCGATTTCCTTAAGAACACCTCGTTAATGTTCGGGCCAAAACGAGCGATTTATATAAGTTCTTATACCTTTTTTCATAAGTGTTGTAAAGTATATGAACAGGTATAGTACGTAAGGTACATGTACGCAGAGCATCTGTTTTAGTTCGCAGCATTGACACGGTGTGGAAATACAGATTAATGACCGCGTATGTACTGTACGTGCATTTGGTAACTGTGTTTTAAAATAGTACATGTACGCAAACGGTCACATTCGTTTTAGACACTGCTTGTTGGTCAACGCTTATTTATAATTGCAACTGTTTCTCAATCGATAACCTAACTGTGGGCATGTCTGGTCATTTCTCAATAACTTGAGTGCGTAGAACGTGACCCAGTTCACCGCGTATGAATATATGTAACTATTGGCAGACTTCTTTTCGCAAACCTCGTGTGATTTAGACTACCGTGCGTTCGAGACACCAAAATAAAAACATTTCATTTTTTGTTGTTGTTGTGTGTACTTTTTTTTAATTAAAATGCCTTTGTCAGATAGTGTCAGAAGCTACAGTCACAATTGTTTGTCGGTACAAAAATGCTCCATCAGCTCCACTTTTTTATCTACGATTGTCGGCCACTGAGATCGTTGGTACCAAACACTAACATTATAGACCACTGAGATACCTGGTTCCAAACACTAACACTATAGACCACTGAGATACCTGGTGTCAAACACTAACACTATAGACCACTGAGGTACCTGGTTCGATTGTCGGCCACTGAGATCGTTGGTACCAAACACTAACATTATAGACCACTGTGATACCTGGTTCCAAACACTAGCACTATAGACTACTGAGATACCTGGTTCCAGACACATACACTACAGACCACTGAGATACCTGGTTCCAAATACTAACACTATAGACCACTGAGATACCTGGAACCAAACACTAACACTATAGACCACTGAGATACCTGGTTCCATAAACTACATTAAAGACCACTGAGATACCTGGTACCAAACACTAACACGATAGACCACTGAGATACCTGGTACCAAACACTTACACTATAGACCATTGAGATACCTGGTATCAAATACTAACACTATAGACCACTGAGATACCTGGTTCTAAACACTTATATTATAGACCACTGAGATACCTGGTTCCAAATACTAACATTAAAGAGCACTGAGATACCTGGTTCTAAACACTAATACAATAGACCACTGAGATACCTGGTACCAAACAATAACACTATAGACCACTGAGATACCTGGTTCCAAACACTAACACTATAGACCACTGAGATACCTGGTACCAAACACTTACACTATAGACCACTGAGATACCTGGTACCAAACACTTACACTATAGACCACTGAGATACCTGGTACCAAACACTAACACTATAGACCACTGAGATACCTGATTCCAAACACTAACACTATAGACCACTGAGATACCTGGTTCCAGACACATACACTATATACCACTGAGATACCTGGTTCCAAACACTAACACTATAGACCACTGAGATACCTGGTTCTAAACACTAATACTATAGACCACTGAGATACCAGGTTCCAAATATTAACATTAAAGACCACTGAGATACCTGGTTATAAACACTAATACTATAGACCACTGATATACCTGGTTCCAAATACTAACATTATAGACCACTGATGATACCTGGTTCCAAATACTGATACTATAGACCAATGAGATACCTGGTACCAAACACTAACACTATAGACCACTGAGGTACCTGGTTCCAAATACTAACACTATATACCACTGAGATACCTGGTTCCAAACACTAACACTATAGAACACTGAGAGACCTGGTTCTAAACACTAATACTATAGACCACTGAGATACCTGGTTCCAGACACATACACTACAGACCACTGAGATACATTGTTCCAAATACTAACACTATAGACCACTGAGATACCTGGTTCCAAACACTTATACTATAGACCACTAAGATACCTGGTTCTAAACACTAATACTATAGACCACAGAGATACCTGGTTCCATAAACTTACATTAAAGACCACTGAGATACCTGGTACCAAACACTAACACTATAGACCACTGAGGTACCTGGTTCCAAATACTAACACTATATACCACTGAGATAACTGGTTCCAAATACTTATACTATAGACCACTGAGGTACCTGGTTCCAAACACTAACACTATGTACCACTGAGATACCTGATTCCAGACACATACAATACAGACCAGTGAGATACCTGGTACCAAATACTTACACTACGTTCCAAACACTAACACTATATACCACTGAGATACCTGGTTCCAAACACCAACGTTATAGACCACTGAGATACCTGGTACCAAACACTAACATTATAGACCACTGAGATACCTGGTTCCAAACACTAACACTATAAACCACTGAGGTACCTGGTGTCAAACACTAACACTATAGACCACTGAGATACCTGTTACCAAATACTAACAATATAGACCACTGAGATACCTGGTTCCAAACACTAACACTATAGACCACTGAGGTACCTGGTTCCAAATACTAACACTATATACCACTGAGATACCTGGTTCCAAATACTTATACTATAGACCACTGAGGTACCTGGTTCCAAATACTAACACTATATACCACTGAGATACCTGGTTCCAAACACTAACACTATAGACCATTGAGATACCTGGTTCCAGACACATACACTTCAGACCACTGAGAAACATTGTTCCAAATACTAACACTATAGACCACTGAGATACCTGGTTCCAAACACTAACACTATAGACCACTGAGATACCTGGTTCCAAATACTTATACTATAGACCACTGAGATACCTGGTTCCAAACACTAACACTATAGACCACTGAGATACCTGGTGTGAAACACTAACACTTTAGACCACTGAGATACCTGGTTCCAAATACTTATACTATAGACCACTGAGGTACCTGGTTCCAAACACTAACACTATAGACCATTGAGATACCTGGTTCAGAACACTAACACTATATACCACTGAGATACCTGGTGTGAAACACTAACACTTTAGACCACTGAGAGACCTGGTTCTAAATACTAACACTATAGACCACTGAGATACCTGGTTCTAAACACTAACACTATAGACCATTGAGATACCTGGTTCAGAACACTAACACTATATACCACTGAGATACCTGGTTCCAAACACTAACACTAAAGACCACTGAGAGACCTGGTTCCAAATACTAACACTATAGACCACTGAGATACCTGGTTCCAAATACTAACATTAAAGACCACTGAGATACCTGGTTCTAAACACTAACACTATAGACCATTGAGATACCTGGTTCAGAACGCTAACACTATAGACCACTGAGATACCTGGTGTCAAACACTTACGCTATAGACCACTGAGATACCTGGTGTCAAACACTTACGCTATAGACCACTGAGATACCTGGTGTCAAACACTAACACTGTAGACCACTTTGAGACCTGGTTCCAAATACTAACACTATAGACCACTGAGATACCTGGTTCGAAACACTAACACTATAGACCCCTGAGATACCTGGTGTGAAACACTAACACTTTAGACCACTGAGATACCTGGTTCCAAATACTAACATTATAGACCACTGAGATACCTGGTTCCAAACACTAGCACTATAGACCACTGAGATACCTGGTGTCAAACACTTACGCTATAGACCACTGAGATACCTGGTGTCAAACACTAACACTATTGACCATTGGGATACCTGGTGTCAAACACTAACACTATAGACCATTGAGATACCTGGTTCAGAACACTAACACTATAGACCACTGAGAAACCTGGTGTCAAACACTAACACTATAGACCATTAAGATACCTGGTTCAGAACACTAACACTATAGACCACTGAGAAACCTGGTGTCAAACACTAACACTATAGACCATTGAGATACCTGGTTCAGAACACTAACACTATAGACCACTGAGATACCTGGTGTGAAACACTAACACTTTAGACCACTGAGAGACCTGGTTCCAAATACTAACACTATAGACCACTGAGATACCTGATGTCAAACAATAACACTATAGACCACTTAGATACCTGGTGTCAAACACTAACACTATAGACCACTGAGAGACCTGGTTCCAAACACTAACACTATAGATCACTTAGATACCTGGT